TTAAAGCCAACGATACCTTCCCTATCACCGATCGATACACAGACGCCGAGACTAGATCTCTGCTTATGAGGAAAGGTGTGTATCCCTATGAGTACATGGATAGTTGGACTAAGTTCGCCGAGACCAGACTACCCCCCCATCAGAGAATTTTACAGCAATCTGACCGACTCGGAAATATCCGAAGACGATTACTCGTACGCTATTAATGTATGGAATAAACTTGGTTGTAAAACCCTGGGTGATTATCACGATCTGTACTTGAAGATGGATGTACTACTATTAGCCGACGTATTTGAGACATTTAGACGGACATGTATCAAGCAGTATAAACTAGATCCGGCATGGTATTACACCAGCCCAGGCCTGTCGTGGGATGCCTTGCTTAAAAAGACCGGAGTTAAGTTGGAATTGCTTACTGATTATGACATGCACCTGTTCATTGAGAAAGGCTTGCGAGGTGGGATCTCCATGGCAGCCAAACGATACGCTAAAGCAAATAATCAATACGTGAAGGACTACGACCCTAGCAAGCCAACCAATCACATTCTCTATCTCGACGCCAACAACCTGTACGGCTGGGCAATGAGCCAGTATCTACCCACAGGGGGATTCGAATGGGTATCATCCGATTTCGATATTATGAGCATCGCGCCGGATTCGAACAAAGGTTATATCCTCGAAGTTGACTTGGAGTATCCCAAAGCATTACACACATCACACAACAGTTACCCCCTAGCCCCGAACGTATGAGGGTTAACCCAGACTGGATGTCTGAATACCAACATAACTTGTTAGATAGGCGGGTGACGGGCGTTGAAAAACTCGTGCCTAACTTAATGAATAAGACCAAGTACATCGTTCACTATCGCAACCTGCAGCTGTACCTGTCGTTGGGTATGAAACTGACCAAAATACACAGAGTGCTGAAGTTTGCCCAAAGTCCTTGGATGGAGCCTTACATCAGAATGAACACGGACCTCCGAAAGCTTGCCACCAGTGACTTTGAGAAAAACTTGTATAAGCTCATGAACAACTCGGTATTCGGTAAGACGATGGAGAACCTGAGAAAACGCGTGGACGTGAAGCTGGTTCGGTCGAATGAGGAGGAAAAACTCAGGAAGCTGATCGCTAACCCTGCATTCAACCGTAGTAAGATATTCGATAACGACCTGGCTGCCATACACATGAAGAAAAGTCACATAATATTAAACCGACCTGTTTACGTTGGGATGAGCATCCTCGATTTATCCAAACACTTAATGTACGACTTTTACTACAACGAGCTTAAGAAACAGTACGGCGACAGGTGCGAAGTGCTGTACACTGACACGGATTCCCTGCTGATGGAGATTCGAACCGAGGACGTGTACGAGGACATGAAAAAACACCTCGATTTGTACGACACCAGCGACTACCCCAAGGACCATGCCATACACAGCACGGTGAATAAAAAGGTCCTAGGTAAGATGAAGGACGAGTGTGCTGGCACGCCCATAGCCGAGTACATAGGGTTGAGGCCTAAGATGTACTCCATACTGAAGGCCGACAATGGTGAAATCCGGAAGGCTAAGGGTGTTAAGAAGTACGTGGTGAAACAACACATCAAACACGCCAGATTCAAGGAAGCTCTGTTCAAGACCCGTACCTTTAAACATAAAATGAACACACTTAGAAGTGATGGGCATAGGATATACGGGCTGACTATAAATAAAACATCATTATCCCCTATGGATACCAAACGTTGGATAGCTATTGATGGGATAAACACGTACGCGTACGGGCATGAGAAAATTGAACCAAGAACATAGGTATAAATAAATGGTGACATGTCACGGAACCAGAAAAAGTTTGAGGCTATTTACTACAGTCCGCGTGGGTACTGGAAAGGAGCTAGCGCTGTAGATAAGCTGGCTAAAATAACTCGAGTATCCCCGGAGGAGGTCAAAACATGGCTTGAAAAACAAGCACTTTGGCAGATATATTTACCACCACCACGCTATGTGCCTAGAAGGAAGTTTGGTATTAATATACCTAATAACGTTCACCAAGCAGACCTGCTGTTCCTACCTCACGACAGGGTGAGACGTAAAACCTACAAGTATGCCCTGACTATCGTGGATGTAGCCAGCCGGTATAAGGAAGCTGAACCATTGACCGCGAAAAGATTCGAATCTGGTGGCTCAAGCCATGGAACGCATATACAAACGCAGTCCACTGACTTGGCCAACAGAGCTGCAAGTTGACCCCGGGCGAGAGTTCATGGGTGCCGTATCGCAGTTGCTGACTAAGCACGATACAAGGGTTAGGCGTGGTACTGCCGGGGCTCATCGCAGTCAAGCCATAGTTGAAAGATTTAATAGGACTTTGGCTGAACGTTTATTTGGGCACCAGTACGCTAGAGAGATGACCAACCCAGGAAAACAATCGACGGAATGGGTTGAACGGCTCCCTAAGGTGGTGTCGGCAATCAACCATGAAATCACACGACTCACTGACAAGAAACCGGCAGACGCTATCAAATTAAAATCAGTGATGGCCGAACCGGCTGCTCCATCACGGGTTGGTAAGGAGAAACAGATACCCGACCGAGCTCTCGTGAGGTATCTATACCAACCGGGAGAACATGAGGGTGATAGTCGCAAGCGTGCCACCGATCCGATATGGTCGGTCAAAACTTACAACATAGATAAAGTGGATATAAAAGCCGACGAACCTAACTTGTACTACTTGATGGATGGACCGGGCAGAGGGTTTGTAAAAGAAGAATTGTTGATCGTACCGTATGACACAGTATTACCTCCTGTCAACACGACATAGAGGTAAGATACCCGGTGGAGTTCGTATCCCGCCGTTGTCTCTGCAACTTTGTGTGATGGCAGCCGGCACAATTCCCCTTGGGAGGAAGCGCAATACATTTCTTTGGGAATTGTGGCTGCCGGGGACATTTTGCTTGAAATCCCCGACTAAAGTCTTATTTTATGAAATAAAGCTCTGTAGTAGATGGTAATGGTAAGGGTCCAACTAAGGCTTTATCTATTAAATGAAGCCTTAGATTACCCTGGTCCAGGACTGTCATCCTGTCTACTACTGTCCTTTGCTGCTTATTGTAGTGGAAATCCATATAACTAACTGACGGATATACAGAACTGTCTCTGGTCCTTTGCTGCTTATTGTAGTGGAAATCCATATAACTAACTGACGGATATACAGAACTGTCTCTGGTCCTTTGCTGCTTATTGTAGTCGAAATCCATATAACTAACTGACGGATATACAGAACTGTTCTGGTCCTTTGCTGCTTATTGCAGTCGAAACCATATAACTAACTGATCAATCCATACCATATAACCTAACTGATATACAGAACTGTCTCTGGTCCTTTGCTGCTTATTGTAGTGGAAATCCATATAACTAACTGACGGATATACAGAACTGTCTCTGGTCCTTTGCTGCTTATTGTAGTCGAAATCCATATAACTAACTGACGGATATACAGAACTGTCTCTGGTCCTTTACTGCTTATTGTAGTGGAAATCCATATAACTAACTGACGGATATACAGAACTGTCTCTGGTCCTTTGCTGCTTATTGTAGTGGAAATCCATATAACTAACTGACGGATATACAGAACTATCTCTGGTCCTTTCCTGCTTATTGTAGTCGAAATCCATATAACTAACTGACGGATATACAGATCTGTCTCTGGTCCTTTGCTGCTTATTGTAGTCGAAATCCATATAACTAACTGACGGATATACAGAACTGTCTCTGATCCTTTGCTGCTTATTGTAGTCGAAATCCATATAACTAACTGACGGATATACAGAACTATCTCTGGTCCTTTGCTGCTTATTGTAGTCGAAATCCATATAACTAACTGGACGGATATACAGAACTGTCTCTGGTCCTTTGCTGCCTTATTGTAGTCGAAATCCATATAACTAACTGACGGATATACAGATCTGTCTCTGGTCCTTTGCTGCTTATTGTAGTCGAAATCCATATAACTAACTGACGGATATACAGAACTGTCTCTGGTCCTTTGCTGCTTATTGTAGCGTCGAAATCCATATAACTAACTGACGGATATACAGAACTGTCTCTGGTCCTTTGCTGCTTATTGTAGTGGAAATCCATATAACTAACTGACGGATATACAGAACTGTCTCTGGTCCTTTGCTGCTTATTGTAGTGGAAATCCATATAACTAACTGACGGATATACAGAACTGTCTCTGGTCCTTTGCTGCTAATTGTAGTCGAAATCCATATAACTAACTGACGGATATACGGATCTGTCTCTGGTCCTTTGCTGCTTATTGTAGTCGAAATCATATAACTAACTGGACGGATATACAGAACTGTCTCTGGTCCTTTTGTTGCTTATTGTAGTCGAAATCCATATAACTAACTGACGGATATACAGATCTGTCTCTGGTCCTTTGCTGCTTATTGTGGTGGAAATCCATATAACTAACTGACGGATATACAGATCTGTCTCTGGTCCTTTGCTGCTTATTGTAGTCGAAATCCATATAACTAACTGACGGATATACAGAACTGTCTCTGGTCCTTTGCTGCTTATTGTAGTCGAAAGTCATATAACGAACTACGTTTATAAAGCATTATAATCAGTGGTCCCTTTGGGTTTTCTGCGATCTCGTGCTAGTTTTAAACCACAATCTATGATACTCCAGTACTTTTAATGTCCATTGAGGAGAGGTGTTAATATTATTCATACTGTAACATACCTTTGTGTTCTTGATACCTAAAAGACCAAGAACAGCGTGTATTCTACTATGCACGTTGCTTGTTGTTTGAGTCTGTGTCGCAATAATCATATCTCTCTTTCAGTATACAACAAAGCTCTTTTATGATCATACCCTTTACAAAATAAACAGACCGAGACAATTTGGGTGAATCTGCATTCAAATGAAAATCCTGTTCAATAAAACAATAATGAAGCTTTTTGCGGATATCTTACTGGACTTGACTGTTTTAGGAAGCCACTGGCTGTGGGAAGTCATCATGATGTTAAACAGTGGGACTCTCCAGCATCAAAAGGATGTGAAAGAGACCCGGATGATGGAATTCCTCTTCAAAAGGAATAGAAGCAGTGCTATATCCGCGTGTCTTCAACACGCACCTCCCTCTGCGCATGCTCCTAAACAGGTCGTGGAGAAGAAGATCAAGTGTATCCAGATCATGCGGAATCCCAAAGACACCTGTGTGTCCTACTTCAACCACAACAGAGACAGGACTCCACCGTATAATTATGAAGGAGACTTCGTGGAGCTTACAGAGGCGTTTTTGACAGAGAAGCGTAAGTACAAGATGTACAAGATGGACACGGCACGGTCGACCTCGCCTCTACGATTCTCACGAACCTGGGTTAAAGCATTGGAGTTTCGAGCTTCTACCTTCTCCAGATATAGTTCGAAAGGATTCACTTATTATCTCATTGCTTTAACTTTAACTTTCTTACTTCCTAGTTCCGTTTGGCTCCTACTCCACCTATCTGCAGTCATGGAAAGCAGAAGTGGCAGCTGCACTAGGGTAACCTACCCTTGATATATACTACGAGGACATGAAAATTGTAAGTATTGATGGCTCCATGCTTTTGAGTAGCTACACGCATGTATAAATGGCGTTCTTGAACAAACACTGAAGCATAATTGTAAGGCAAGCTAGTTGCGCCATTTTGTAAGATGCCCTGTCCCCTTAACACAACGGACGTTTGAATGACAACCCGTGAAGATTTGGGTAGGAATTGGTCTTCAGCTTCCTAAGTGCAATATGTCAATCAATCAATCGATAAAAAAGCATTCATTCACTCTAATGAGTTTGTGCTTCACAAAAACAAGGGTCGTGTGTAGACTATTATAGATCAAAAGACAAGAAATGTATGATCATTTCAAAACGCTCTAACGATTGAATCTCAGGACCCTGTCAGGTCATGTCAAAGACGTCGCTAGATTCTTTGGCCTTGCATCTACAGACAAGTTCTGTGAGGAGGTTGCGGATGCTTGCTCCTTTAAGAAGATGAAAAAAGTTGACCAGGAAATGAAAATGAACTTCCCTTAAAGCTGTAGGCAGATGTCACTGGAGGAACGTTCTATAGGAAAGGTAAAGCATCCCACATTCGGCACTCACTCAGCCACTCATCCACTCATCCACTCACCTACCCAAAATTAGGTTCTAATAACAGTACTGTGGGAATAAACCTCTCCACAATACACAATTGTTGACAAACGTACACCTGTTTAAAGTACGCTGGCTTTGATACATTCATTTTCTGCTGCAGGTGAAATCGGGGACTGGAAGAATTGGTTTACTGTGGCACAAAGTGAGATTTGATATAATATGGAACAAGAAGATGAAGGATTCTGGGCTTGAGTTTACTTATTCGCCCATGTGAGGTCCAGTCAAATGCATTGGTTATACGTTCACCGAGATAATGAATTTATCCTATCCAAGAACCATGTATGAAGTGTAAAGGAGCATTTTGTTTCATAGAACACTAATCAGTAAGTACAGGAGACTGTCCGAAGGTATTTTACGAAGATCACTACATCCCTTCTGATCGTACATCTTTAGGACATGGCCACCTTCTTATTCACAACAAATGACGCTAAAACATATGACACCTAATTTGATTCCTACCTGTTGTAGCTATATTTACCTTGTCCACACTGTTCATGAATACAGTGCTGGGTATTTACTGATTGTCTGTATAAGCTAAGTTAAGCACCGTAAACCGTCATCGCGAATTGCTCTTGCAATGTTGTACGTTGAAAATTATTGACGCAGAAAATATTTCCGTCCTAAAATAGCATAGTAACCTGAGCACCCTTTCATTAAAACATCTTGCTCATTTATGGGGGCGGTGGGGTAGCCTAGTGGTTAAAGCGTTGGCTCGTCACGCCGAAGACCCGGGTTCGATTCCCCACATGGGCACAATGTGTTAAGCCCATTTCTGGTGTCCCCGCCGTGATATTTGCTTCCGGAATATTGCTAAAAGCGGCGTAAAACTAAACTCAGTCAGTCAGTGCTCATTTATGTTTAAAATAAAATATAAGCGCTTTCAGATATATCTCTCAACATCACTGGACGTATTGGCTGAGCGTGCATGTAGAGTTGATAGACTACTTTGATGATCCTCCCAGATTGTATCACCTATTTCAGCACGGCTCCTTTGGGAGCTGCATAAATCGCCTTACACGCGCATGCTGCGTATCGTTGGATAGCTGGATCCTGGAGCTACACGGAGAATGTTTCCGTTTGATTTTATGCAAATTTATACCCGAGCATTTAAGGTTTCTGTGATTAAAAGCTTTGCGTTTTCTTCCACCCAGCGGGTTCGAATCCTCAAATGGGTACACTGAGTGAAGCCCATTTCTGGTGTCCCCGCCGTGATATTGCTTTCTGAATATTGCTAAAAGCGGCGTAAAACCAAACTCAGTCAGTCAGTCAGTCTTCCACCCAGCCTCCGGTGGAAAGTCGTCCGCGCCATTGCATTTTGGAAGCCTTCTACTTTGTCGTATCTATGCATGTTATACATTGTTGGAAATCTGAGGAAACGCTCTCTCCAAATATGCAAACGTGAATATTATGCTGGGAACCAGTCCAGATTGAAACTTCGACGTGATGTTTTGTGTAATTTTACTGAAGTTCAATTCTTCTGTGATATACCAATTTTTCGCCAACATCATGCAGTCATGATATAACGGCTACTACTCTTACACATCACCTCAGAAAATACATTTATATAGTGCGTTTGAAAGCCAGTTAAGGCGTGTTTTAGACAATGTATAACATGCACATGTTGCACATTAAGTAGTGGAGCCATATAAGTATTATAACATATATGGGACGTGATATAGATTGGCGGAATTTAGATGAATCTGTACACCAGCTATACGTACCGGCGGTGTTAATATTTATATATATAGCATGTGTAAGATCATTCATGTGGGATTCTGGAAATATGTAATATGTTGTTGTGCAACATTAGATAGTTGAGCTATACAGGAATGAATATGCTTGACAGAACTAAAAGTACAATAGTTTGGGAATCTAACCAAAACAGCAATACCTCTGGTTCGATCCTTCATTTCTATAGCTCACATGAAAGCCCTTTAAAATGCCCTTCTAACGACGTATAACACGTACATGTGCAATATTTTGCAAAGGTGCTACACCATAGTGGTAAATGTTTCAAATTAATCACTTCGAAGAATACGTTATTGTAAAAGGGGCTTTATGTTGTTTTGAGTCAAATACACTTAAATTCGGACTACTGGCATTCTGGTAGAGTTAAGCTGTTGATTCAGTTCGGGACTAATCACATTCCTCGAAGCGATTCTTGGAGTTACAGGTTCTTGAAGGTCGGTTGTTTGAGACCACGGCGATGTCTAGTCTATGTACTGACCCAGTGAAGCAGGATACATATCCCAAAGCAGCAGTCTTCATGCCTACTTCCACATCTGCCCCAAACCATCTTTCCATATAAGCTGGAACACTGATGAGTTCGGCGTTAACCAACCAACCAACCAGCCAACCAACCCATCTTTGCATATAGCTGGAACACTGATGAGTGCGGCGTTCAGCAACCAACCAGCCAACCAACCAACCAACCAACCCATCTTTGCATATAGCTGGAACACTGATGAGTGCGGCGTTAACCAACTAACCAACTAACCTACCAACCAACCAACCAACCAATCCATCTTTGCTGATTTCATTTCATTTCATTTTAAGCTCTCTTTTTGCCTGTACTGCATCGCCGTACGTTCCTCAAACCGTGTGTTCCAATTCAAAGGTCAAGGACCCAATTATTGTGTAGTGGCATTTTGCACTGAACAATTTGCTGACCAGGGGCATTGCTTTGAGGGGGATCACATTGACAACAACAAGATATTTCACTATTACGCAATTCCGTCTTTGCGAGACTCAGACCTGTTTGTATCAACCGACCCTGGTTTATAGCTTCATAATGTTATCAAGATCTACAAAACACCATACAGCTGTTACAGGCAACGTGTGTATGAATGGTTACTTACTGCAGTGATTTGTCAACACCCTCCATGGTGGATGTCCAGTGTATGTTTGCTGAAGCTGGAGCAGTGAACAGAATCTTATAAGACCTTGTGAGACCGGGGCAGATTCTCCTCACATGAAATGCTGACTCATTCAAGTCGAGAACTGTACAATACTGATGTCATGGTCACGTGACAATAACGAGTACGGCTTAAACGTTGTTCTGTTGAACATTATCCGTATGTATGACACACACCCATCGAACACTCACGCATTTGTCAACACTGACATGTGTGAAACTATTTTCTGACCTTTAAACTTTGCTGATATGCGAGACGGTGTGCTGAGTGTTTGTCAAACATCTGTGCATCTGTGACAGACTTCATTACCTGTATACCTGTAATAGAAGTAGTACGCTGCCGTAGCAATGACGTCATCAGCAGCGCGACAGCTGTTGTGGAATAGCTAGAGATAGGCATTACACATTACGTTTCCCGTCGTGTATCTTTGGACTATTTCCGGATGAGATGATGGGTATCCGAAACACCCGATGCCCTACGCCAACTTACCAAATTTAAGGTCCCGACGTACCACTTGTGTAATTAGCAATTGATTCAAACTTAGGGTTTGCTACCAGGTAGCAGTGAACATAGCCACTGTCAATAATATATATTCCACACATCTTGGACTTAATGACAGATGGAGAAACACCCCAGCCGCCATTTCGGCCAGTTCGGAATATGTCTGAATTATTCTGTCACTATCGAACCTGTACATTCAAAACATTGTTCACAGAATGTACATGGTTTTACATCCAGAAGTTTATAATCAAAATGTTATATACAGTGTTCTTCAACTTAACATACCCTTTTGTACTGTCGTCTTGGTGTTATGTCCCAGATTTTGACTTGCATTTAACATATTGCACGATTTCCACTAGTTTGGATTTGTGCACTATCGTGACCAGCTCCACATGTTTAAACGACCTAGATTTACACATAAGCCTACAGCGTTTGTACACATTAAATAGTACAAACATTACATGTGCTATCTCGTCACTAGTTGTTCTTGTCTGCTCGTGACACATGAAAGGAGTATGTCATATTACATCAGCCTGTTCGCACCTTTATACGCCAGTCGTGTAACTGATGGGCGCCACTGGTAAAGGCTGGGCGTGTTTATGTTCACTTTTGGCGAACACCTTGTGTTATTGGTGACTTGTAGCAATTAATTCAATGAAGCAGATTGCACCTGCCCTAAATCAGCGACGGGCGTTGGGGTAGCCTGGTGGTAGAACCGTTCGCCATCGCCGTGGTATTGCTGGAATATTGCTAAAAACGGCGTAAAACTAAACTTACATACTCATTTAGCTCGCCCAAGCTCGATAAACACCATGTCAATTCCTGTACCCTTAACACAGCTCTGAACCTCGGATGTCCTCTCTGTCCGTTTTACCGCGGATAGTGTTGCAGTGTCAATATAGATTGGTTTTAAATAATGGCCGTCACAGGCCACATAACTCTTCAAAGTATAATAATATTCCAGGTCAGTTCCTTTCAAACATTTTGGAGATGCACGTACTTCTCGTTGACATCCGCTTGCTTCCTGCTTTAGTTCTCGACCAGTATTCCGTTTTAGATTTGTCCAAATTTGTCTTGTCCAAACATTAATTGTAATGAGTTGTATATCTTAGTGTATTTTATTAAGTCTCTTATTTGATCTAACGGACTAAATGTTAAGTAACCAACAACAGTAAGTAAAACAAATGTAAAATACACTGGCTGGTATAGTCCTTTCACTGGCTACTATATAGAAGTCAGAATGGCTTGGCATCAACCGTTATCACATGTTGATTGCACTGGAACACTTTGAAGTTAAAAATAATTCTTGTTTAATCACATAATGCACGTCACAGTTGTGAAATTTGGTATATCGCCAACATTTTGGGAAAAGTTACATAACTGTATCAACCTAGAAAAGTACATACAACGTAAAATGTATTTTGGAAAATAACATGTTAGTAATCGCTGTTGTTTATTTCTTTATGAAATCGACAATAGTCCATTCTGAAACGTCGCCAACAAAACTAGAATCGTTACCCTGGTCAAAAACTAATACTGTACTACGAATGCTGCACTTCCATGAAAATGTCAACAAAGCAAAACTCAGATTATACATTGTTTAGCATGTTCTCCATGTTTGAGGGATTCATTCTTGCGTCTCGTTGCCTGCATTGGCTAATGTTGAATTGAATTGTTGCACCGAATAACTTAATGTGCAAGAGTAAAGAATTGTTGCAGTATTAGGATAGTATAAACAGATGTCATACATTGATTTGGTACATTGATAAGGAACTATCCAAGTTTCCATTAAGCAGAGCCCAATAAGTGACGCACAATCATTGACTGCTCTGGCTATTTGTCTTGGTTACAGTGAAAATCATAGAAACAATTATCAGATGTTGCGGAAATTGCGTGATGTCATTGACCAAGCTTGAAGTACATATATGGTAATTTCTTTGATATCAATGATGGGGGAACACAGGTTCCAAGGTCATTCATTCTATCCTTCTGTTTACACTTTCAGTTATTATATAAAATGTGCGTATGAATTAAATTCAATTCCTTACAGAAAATGGTCAATATTCATTATATCACATGATTTCTCATTAAAGTACAGATTCTAGTACTTTATGTTTTTAGTACTGTCCAACACTCTCAATGTTAGACAACTAATCACCAGCACGGTAAGTCAGCGATCTAACCCACTCAGCCAACGCTGCTTCCACCAAATGGAATCCCAGCAACTGATAGTCTAGATCACGTACTTTGTGTACCCCTCCGACAAGTGTAAACTGCTTTCGGCCGTGGGAGTCGTTCCAGTTTACACTTGTGAGAGGTGTACGTTTTAGCAGAGTCCTTACGTTCAATCACATGAACGTTTTTGCCCTAGTCTTAGATAAGTTTAGCGTCATGCTGAAGGTAGGGTAACAGTCATAGCCAACAATCTATTCAAGGCACATTTCTTTAAATACTTTTGAAATTAGGTTTTCATAAGCTGAAGATAAAAAAAAAGCTGATATAATTCAAAAGGCAATAAACACATTCTCTTTTCCTTCATGGAAGGGTAGGCAGGCTCTAGTATTGCTCGTGGAAGGGTAAGGTAAAAGCAGCTGACTCTCGCTACATGACCTCACACAGGTGTGTAGGTAAACGTGAACCCAGAATCCTTCATCTTGGCATTCCACTTTTGATCAAATCTCTCGCTTTCTGCCACAGTGAACCAATTCTTCCAGTCTCCGATTTCACCTGAAAGAGAATACGAATGTAGCAAAGAACCCGTATTGTGATATGAAAATGTTTGTAAAGGCGATTTATGTTGTAAACGTAATAATGGATGAAGCAAAGGTAGGGGGTAAACTTTGATATCATTACCATATACTACTACCTCTACTACTACTACTACTACTACTACTATTATTATTACTACTACTACTACGACTAGTACTACTACTACTACTACTACTACTACTGCTACTACTACTACTTCTACTACTGCTACTACTACTACTTCTACTACTGCTACTACTACTACTACTGCTACTACTACTACTTCTACTACTCCTACTACTACCTCTACTACTACTACTACTACTACTGCTACTACTACTACTACCTATACTACTACTACTACTACTGCTACTACTACTACCTCTACTACTACTACTACTGCTACTACTACCTCTACTACTACTACTACTGCTACTACTACTACCTTTACTACTACTACTACTGCTACTACTACTGCAACTACTACTACTAGTGCTGCTGCTGCTACTACAACTACTACTACTACTACTACTGCTACTGAATTTGTCTCCTGCTTTAACAAGTCGATATTTCACTGCATTTCAAAATGTCATGGTTTTGGCTCAGTAGAAACTCCAGTAGGCCAGGTTGACAAATTCTTGTTTTTATATGATCTTCAGTTTCAGTGGACGAGAATACCAGAAAGCAAAACTGTCAAAATAATATTTGACCAGTATCTTGATGAGAATTCCTAAATTTAAATGACTGATAACAGCGATGACTGAGAGTAATTCTTCGTGTCGGACTTGTCAACTAACAGACCCCAAAACAAGGTGTAAATGCGACAGATCTTCCAGTCAATCACACTCACTGGCATTTCAGTGATCTTGGACCTCAGAAATGTAATCTGTCTTTGGATGTTTGGTTGTATATTTCTTTCAGAGAACTGACAAATAAATCGATTTTATTAAAAAAGCTAATCACTTTGTTGCCTTGGGTTTGAGGATTGAGAATGAAATGAGACGCCGTATACCTTTCCTGTAGAATGTTCCTTCGCTGCCCTCTGCCCAGATCTTCATTGGACCGTCACTTTTCATTTCCTCGTCAACCTTTTTCATCTTCTTAAAGGAACAAGCAAGTGCGACCTCTTCACAGTACTTGTCTGTACATGATAGGCCCAGGAATTTGGCGATGTCTTTAGCAGCCTTAACAGGATCCTGGAAATAGTGGAGTTAACAGTTTTGAATGTCTGTCGCCATGTTTTATAACATTGTTTTGTGTTATGGCATATCTTTATACGATTTTCTCGATTTGAAAAACCTTCTGTTGATAGATATCGATACACCGAAACGTCGTATCTACAATAATTGCAAACTGAATAAAGAAGTTGTCTATCCATAAAACATGGTTTCTAGACGCCTCTAAAAGAAGGTTTTCTTTGCCGGATAATCATATAGTTCGTGTCTCTGTGTCATGGTATATCAGTGAATGTTGTTCATTTATCCCTCACACGATTACTGATTTACTGATTCATATTTAAGTATGTAATCCGAATATTGAACTGGTTCAGCGAGTCGGAACACGCAATCGCATCAGCCGCCTTATGCGACAAGCATGTAGCGCTGAAGATCAATTGTAACCCGGTTTTCGCTCAAACGATTATCATATTAGCTCTGCACGAAATTTGTGAAATATCGTACAACTTTCAATGGCGATTAGGTGCCTGGCTCTGAGGGTGTGAGTTCGAATCCCGGATAGGGCTCAACTCAAGTACTAGAATTTGTACTTTACTAAGAAAGGGTAATCCCAAATATAACATATGTTACATTTGACAACTTTCTAAATGGCGTTGTGTAATCATAACTTTTAATGGTTCTTGTATAGTATAGGGTACACAAATACCCCAGGTCTGTGTAAACAAGAATACTTTTGCAAGTTTGCAGCCAATAAAAGAAAACATATATATGTATAATTGTAAATACTTACAGTTTTCATGTCCTCGTAGTACATATCAAGGACAGGTAACTCTGGTGCAGCTGCCACTTCGGTTTTCCATGATAGCAGATTGGTGGAGTAGGATCCAAACGGAACTAGGAAGTAGAGAGGAAATAGATAACTATGAAACACAAAAATGAACCCGTTTCCTGTTAAACAAGGGACGTGTGGATGTCGGACTATGCTGTTCCATCTATCATAATCAGGTGTCATCATAATCATAATCACTATCAAATAGTGATGGTACCAGGTGTCCGTGGAGACACCAACCATACAAGAAGTGTTTCACAAAGGTAGTTCACTAAGTTATGCCACGTGGATACACCCCTCACACACGGTATACTCCCAGCCGATCAGAAATTGATCTATTTCCTAAATATTGAACGCCAGGAAGGTGGGAAGAACAAAATATCTTCACAGTCAGGAGGTCTGTTTTTGTCACTCGGCCGTGATCGAACCACAGACTTTCTGATCTCTGACTGGACGCTCTGTACACTTGGCCAAATATGCGCTGAGATGACTTCCTGGCCATGTTGCAGACTGTGTCAAGTGAGAATCATGACTGTTAATACGATAACACCTGTGATCATTTTGGTGTTTGTTCTCGTTGGCTGTTTGCACGATGGATTCAGGCCTTTGCTTGAATTCTTGCATAAACATAACAGCAAGTGGCGATTACTCCAGAAAGTATTAATAAGCATTGAATGTTGATGGATGAACTGTATGAACTATGGACTATGAAGTGATTAATCACTCAATGTACTTACTTTTCTCTGACAAAAACGCCTCTGTAAACTCCACGAAGTCCCCCTCATAGTTAGCTGGTGGAGTCACATCTCTGAGGTGGTTGAAGAAGGATACACAGACATCCTTAGGGTTGCGCATGATCTGAATACACTTGATCTTCTTCTCCACGACCTGTTTAGGGAGCATGCGCAGAGGGAGGTGGGTGTTGAAGACACGTGGCTGTGGCACTGCTTCTATTCCATCTTTGAAGATGAATTCCAACATCCTGGTTTCTTTGACATCCTTTTGATAATGAATGGTCCCACTGATTAACATCTCGATGACTTCCCACAACCAATGGGTTCCTAAAACAGTTAAATCTAGTCTGACCCTCCACAAAAAACCTAACGTTAAGTTTAAGCATATTTTGTGTCTGCTATGTATTTTGTAACATGTTCGGAAACATGCACAATTATTGACACTGAAACATTAAGAAGTAATTGAATTTTGTGTGTGTGTGTGTCCTTTTCGTCATTGCGTGAGTAAGCAGCTAGTAGAAGAGAAGTGGACACCAGAAATAGGCTTCACACATTGTACCCACATGGGAACAGAGCCTGGATCTTTGAGCGAACGATTTGACCACCAGGCTACACTTTTTCTTCTGTAAAGACATACTCGACCACATAATTGTCCTGTACACCTAATACTGACTGAGATAACTTATGATTCACAGTATTACTGAATCAACATTTTGTTTGATCCCTTAGCAACGTCGGGGTCCGAGATTCTATCACAGATTCATCTCAATACCATACCCGTGCTGAGTTTTGTACATACACGCCTATTACTGACGTTAAATCAACCATTCCTCCATGCACAGGTATATGTGTGATTTCCATCTCACCCAGATGGCAGAGATCGCTCTCCGTCAAAGGACTGCCAGTTGTTGAATCACTCCCTGTGTGGCAATAATGCCACAGGAGCTGGGGACACTGTTAATGACATGTAATAACATACAGAGTACCTACCGCATTTGGGATACGCACAGATAATGATGTCATCGTCCTTCAGTTCGGCTTCTGTGACACTTTTGATTCTGTCTACTTGTTTCTGTCCCTTCACCAGGTGTTCAGGCAACATGAAGAAATACAGCCCATCATGCTTGAAACAGTGGAATCCATGTCCTTTCGAATTCTTCGTATCGGCAAGCTCACTCAGGTCAGGGTCCCTGGTCATAATCGAGATATGTGGGTACTGTGTTTGATTATATCCTTAATCTCGTCCCTCCATCCCTCCATCCACCCCTCCCTCCCTCCATCAATCCATCCATCCCTCCCTCCATCCCTCCATCCATTAATCCACCCCTCATCCATCCAACCCTCCAACCATCATCCATCCATCCATCCACCCTCCATCTTCTTCTTCATAGTTTATTGCATGAAGGCCAGAGGCCCATATACAGAATAAATATGTATGATATGTACAACATATACAACATGCGACACACACGTTACATTGAATGTCTTCTCAATATAAGCGCGTGATAAATAAATAGAGCTACCTTATATTGTAATAGGGATGCTTTACATGAAAGTATTGAATATAGTTTTGTAGCATTAATATTTGATTGTAGCCATTGTGGAAAATACAGTTGCCTTAAATCATTATATGCAGGACAAAGAAATAGAAAGTGTAATTCATTCTCTACAGTATAAACAAAATGGACAGAACCTTTGTGATTTTATAATAGATGAATATCTTCCTTGATTGATATATAAATCATTTAGGCCAAGTCTCAGGCGCATGAAAACACTACGAAGCTTTTACTACGTAAGTTGTATAGATATGACTCAGGTTCAAGTAAAGGTTTGGGAACTCACGATAGCAATCATATCTTGAGCTTTCATATAAAGATGAATGCCAGTCTTGTTTAAAGATATCACAGCCCTGGTACGAAAGAGTTTGATAAATGCATTAACGTCGCCCAGGTTTGGGATAGCCAAACAAATCCAAAGCCGTATCTAAACAAAAGAATACGATTATGGGTTGCCCAAGTATTTTACCACATTATCAAGATGGACCATCATATGTAGGTTTTTGGGCAGACGATGTTCTACAAGCACATTTATTACTTTACACCAGCACTTTAAAACAGCGAGAGTAAGAAATTATGTACAAAGGAAATCTCCCACATTCACCGTATACCATATTATTCGGGGTAGACATCCCAACAATTAAAACCTTTTACATGCAAGAAGGTGAACCTTTTCAATGGCATAAAATTCTTATTGCCCCAAATTTCAGACCCATAAAGAAAGAATAGGGCTGTACTTGGGAATCAAACAATTTGAAAAAAATATATTGGGACCAACAACCCCCAACTTTGGTATAACAGAGAGCAATTGAAGTAGGGCCCTTTTCCCTCTAATTGCCAAATTAATAATGGATTTGTTCAGATTTAGTGTATGTGTAAACAGTATCCCTAGATATTTATATTCGTTAACAACAGTCATACGTTCACATTTAAAGTACCACTTTTCTGTAGCTGCCGTTGGGCCACCCTTACGAAAAACAACAATTTTGGTCTTTTCCATCCATCAGTCCATCCATCCGACCATCCAACCATCATCCTTCTATCCATTTATCAATTCCTACATCCATCGTCCCCTCCATCCATCCATTAATCCTCCATCCCTCCATCCGTCCCTCCATCCCTCCTCCATCCATCCATCCCTCCTTCCATCCCCCCATCCATCCATCCGTCCATCCATCATCCCTCCCCCATCCATCCATCCATCCCTCCACCATCCATCCTCCTCCCTCCCTCCATCCCTCATCCATCCTCCCTCTCCAACCCTCATCCATCCACCCTCCATCCCCCCATCCATCCATCCATCCATCCACCCACCCCTCCCTCCATCCACTTATCCATCCCTCCATCCATCCACCCTCCTTCCATCCATCCTCATCCATCCAACCCTCCAACCCTCCCTCCATCCACCCTCTCCTCCATCCATCCATCCCTCCCTCCCTTCATCCATCCTCCTTCCATCCACTCCATCCATTCCTCCATCCATCTCCATCTATCATCCTTCCTCCATCCATTCTCATCCATCCAACCCTCCATCCCTCATCCATCCACCCTCCCTCCCCATCCATCCCCCCATCCATCCATCCGTCCATCCTCATCAATCCATCCCTCCATCCATCTCATCCATCCATCCCTCCATCCACCCCCTCATCCAGCCCACCCTCCATCCCTCCCTCATCCCTCATCCATCCAACCCTCCAACCCTCATCCATCCCTCCATCCACCCATCCCTCCATCTAACCATCATCCTTCCATCCATTATCCATTCCTACATCCATTCACCCTTCCTTCCATCCATTAATCCATCCATCCATCCTCCCTCCCCCCCCTCCTCCATCCATTCCCATCTATCCCTCCCTCCGTCCATCCCTCTTCCATGCCACCATCCATCCCTCCCATCCACCCTCCATCCACCCTCCATCCATCCATCCCTCCATCCACCCACCCCCTCTCTCCATCCATCCATCCTCCATCCATCCATTCATTAATCCCTCCCTCCATCTATCATCCCTCATCATATATTCATCCATCCCTCCATCCCTCCATCCATCCATTAATCCATCCCTCCACCCCCCATCCATCCCTCCATCTATCATCCATCTATCATCCATCCATCCATCCTTCCATCTCATATAAGTTATCTACGCAAAAAATGACGTCCCATAGTGTACCAGTGCCTGCAATCAAGGGTGGTGAGTTCGAATCAATGCATTCATATACTTTTGGCTTGTGCTCAAACATCAAACACTTCGGACTTTCCATCTTATCAGGTTGATACGCAGTGATACATTATAAACAACACTGCATCTCTGGAGTCCATGTACCAATGTAAAAATGGAAAAAATAAATACATTATATAAAAGTCAGTGTCTTCTGCTGAGTACCAAACAACATTCTGGTGTATCTTTAAGTCAGATAGTGCCATAATACACACAAACACACCCTGATAATTACATCGCTGGTGAGTTGCATGTACCTCCGCAACGTCCTTACGATGCAGCCGTCTCCATTATAACCTGACGTTCTAGCACTATTGTTGGGATCGTCAATATGATAGGGAAATGTCAGAACAAAATATATCTTAGCATGAGACTGACTCGGACGTATGCTCGACAGTTTGGTCAAGGCCAACGATACCTTCGCCATCACCCATTGATACACCAATGAGGCGACTCGACCTCTGCTGCTAAAAAAGGGCGTGTACCCGTACGAGTACATGAACGATTGATCTAAGTTCGACGAGACCCAACTACCTCCCATCGACCGATTTTACAGCAACTTAACCGACTTCACCATCTCCCAGGGCGATTACGACCACGCCCAGAACGTGTGTGAGAAACTGGGCTGTCTGCATTTAGGCGATTATCACAATCTCTACCTGAAAACGGACGTGCTGCTGCTGGCCGACGTGTTCGAGACATGTTGAAACAGTATAAACTCGATCCCGCGTGGTACTACACCAGCCCCGGTCTCTCGCGGGACGCGCTGCTGAAGACAACGGGCGTCAAACTGGAATTGTTCACCGATTACGACATGCACTTGTTCGTCGAGAAAGGCATGCGCGGCGGGATTTCCGTGGTCTCCAAACGGTACGCGAAAGCAAACAACCAATACGTGAAAAAAATACGATTCGAACAAGCCCGCCAATCATCCCCTCTATCTCCATGCCAACAACCTGTACGTCTGGGTTATGAGTCAGTATTTGCCTACAGGCGGGTTCCAATGGGTTAATAGCGAGCATTTTAATCCGAAGAACATAATGGCCATCCCCGACAACTTCGAGATAGGCTACCTGTTCGAAGTGGATTTGGAGTACCCCGAAGCATTGCACGAATCGCACAACAGTTATCCGCTGGCTCCCGAACGATTGATGGTCAGTCGATGGATGTGTAACTATCAGCGAGACTTGTTGGGCGAGAACACACTGGCACAGGTGGAAAAACTCGTCCCCAACCTGATGAACAAAACCAAGTACATCCTGCTCTATTGCAACCTGCAGCTGTACCTGTCGCTGGGTATGAAGCTGACCAAAATACACTGAGTGCTCAAATTTGATCAAAAAACCCTGGATGGAACCGTACATTCGGTTGAACACCGAATTGAGAAAACGAGCCACGAGCGACTTCGAGAAACACCTCTAAAAACTCATGAACAATTCGGTATTCGGCAAAACCATAGGAAACTTGAGAATACGCGTCAACGTAAAACTCGTGCGATTGCACCAGGAGGAATAACTCAGAAAACCGATCGCCAGCCCGCCATTCAACCGAAGCAAGGTATTCGATAACGACTTGGCAGCGCTCCACATGAACAAAAGCCACATCAAGCGTCTACGTGGGGATGAGCATCCTCGACCTGTCCAAACATCTCATGTACGATTTCTACTACAACCAACTCAAGAAGCAATACGGCGATCAATGCGAGCTGCTGTATACCAACACCGATTCCTTGTTGTTGAATATACGCACCGAGGACGTGTACGAGGACATGGCGAAACACAGCCACTTGTACGATACCAGCGATTACGCCCAAGACCACGCCCTACACAGCACGACCAATAAAAAGGTCCTCGGCAAGATGAAAGACGAATGCGCGGGCACACCCATCGCCGAATAGATCGGATTGAGATCCAAGATGTATTCCATCCTGAAAGCCGCCAACGGTGAGATCCGAAAGGCGAAAGGAGTAAAAAAATATGTGGTGAAACAACACATCAAACATGCCCTCTTCAAACAAGCTCTGTTCAAGAATGAAACGTTCAAACACCGAATGAATGCGTTGAGAAGCGACAAACACAACATCTATGGAATCACCCTGAATAAAACCTCCTTGTCGCCCATGGATACCAAACGGTGGATCGCCGTCGACGGTGTCACGACTTACGGGTACGGACACACGCTCATATACCACTGATTAGACCTCGACGCGTTGGGAGTTTCCAAGACCCCTTATAAAGGAAACTCCACTCGGCATGTCAAGGTCTAGTCAGTAGTTGATTTGTAGTTGCTGAAAAAATGGGTAGACCTAGCGAAAATGAGATGAGGGTCTAGGCTGGCGAGCTCGGTTGTACATCGAATGATGTCTCTGCTCGAAAATTACTATTTTATACAAGGCGCTGAATTACGTAGAAATAAACCTATAGGTACCCTGTAATACAACCCCCATTATATAACTACTGCAACATATATTTCTCAGAACAGCTGTACGTTTGCAGAACCATACCTTCATTGAGCAGTCAAATTTACATGCACTTTCAACACTTTTAATAGCCAGTACAATTGTGAAGGAACCTTTGAAACGATACAGATCACACTGACCCAGTGCTCGTGGTTGCAGGTGAATCTTGCTCATGCACAAGGCGTACCCTAAGCTGGTGATAATATAATTTCTAAAACCGCAAGACTGTGTAGGGACTTGGAAACAATTCAGAAAAAACCAACAAGAGGAGACTTACCTCACAGAAGTTTCGCCATCTGAAGCCATGGTGACTGTCCGCGGCCTTGTTCAGTGCAGTAATGCATTACACCTTCAAAATGGGTCATGTAAATGATAACCTGCACGGAGGCGAAGGACGTGTGTAATCTTCTTTGTAACACTAAGCATGCACATGACTGCCAAGTAGTAACCACAGCAGTAGACAACTGAGTCAGCATAAAATTCAGTGACTTACATGTGTATACGATTGCCGTACTGTTCAGTCAGTCATTGTAACAAGAGTGAGTTTGTGAGTTTAGTTTTACGCCTATTTTAGCAATATTTCAGGAATATCACGGGCGGGGACACCAGAAATGGGCTTCACACAATGTGTCCATGTGGGAATCGAACCCGGATCTTCGGCGTGACGAGCGAACGCATTAACCACTAGGCTACCCCACCGCCCCGATTGTAACAAGAAGAAAAAACAAAAGCATAAACATATGAATAGTACTCTTTGATGTATTATATGTCAGAGTTATCGATGTGTAACAATGTTCCAAAGTAATATATTGTACAAGTGGACAGTCGGTGAGATTGCGCTATATTTTGAGTTATACTAGATTTAGACAGAAAGTTCAGGAAGCTGCTACAAAGTTTAATTTTCTAGCTTCCTATTCTCGTGTATATATGGGGAGCTAGCTATTGCCTGTTATCTCACATGACATCTCAAGTAACAAGAATACCAGCATTGTGTGTGATGATCATCATACGATACCCTGGGAACCCTGCTTAAGCAAGCTGAGAAAACCTTTGCTTAGAGGAGAATATTACATATTGCTCTTTATTATATTACTCAAGCAGCTTGAGTTCTCCGGGGTAATACTGGGGTCACTTTTGATAATCTTTCACTTCTCTATGAGCGGCAAGTACTTTCAACGTTTGAAAAAATCATTAATGACACAACACATTTTTTAAATCTAGACTATAAGCTTCTACCTTCGGGCCCCCGCTATACAGTGCCAATCACCAAGACTAAACGAGCTCGAACGTACCTCAAAGTATTGCAAGTTTAAACAAATGTTGAATGTCCAGTTATCATCTTATTCACTTAATTATTTTAAGCATATATTTATCTCTTTTATGTTTTTTTTTAGTAATTACATATTTTGTGTTATTCGTATTTTTGTCAAGCTCTGTGATCCAAAACGAAATCCTTTTAAGGTAATACAGTATTGTCTGTCTGCCTGTCTGTCTGTCAATAATGTCCATTATGTTCAGCGATATATATGTAGTAGTCTTAACAGAAAAAAAGGAAAGGATCTTTATATCCATAACATTAATGTGAAAAGAATCGATCTTCATAGACTGCTGGTGTATATGTAATGTTAACTGACATTGGCATACGTCCACCGCATACATATACAATCTTAATGTGTGTTGTCCAAACTGTCCTTGACTTTGTCTAAACATAGCAACTTATTTCCATGAATCAATGTCATCAGATTACAGTGTCATTATATTATACAATATACTGCTAATTATTAATAATAATATAATTCTTCCAGGGGAGTAGCTAGGGAACTAGTCACTGCAAACACATGAATACATCAACTACCTCCCCAACAAAACATTGCAGGTATTTGCGCTGAACTGATGACAAAAGTCAATCACAATGACGTCACGAGTCCACAAGCGGGACAGGGGTCAAACGACCTTGTCACAAGCTTAATAACGGGTATGTCCACCATCGGCATTGAGAACAGCAGTGCATCGACGACGCATAGAGCCTATCAAACGTGCAAGGAAGGCTTGTGGGATGTCACGCCAGATTCTTTCAAGTTCTGTTGCAAGGTCAAGGACGTTATCTGGCGGATGAGGAAGACGGCGTAGACGTCGATCCATCTCGTCCCAAACATGCTGTGATTTTGCAGGCCAAGGCAGTACGTCAACGTTGTGGTGTTGCAAGAAATCCATAGCAACCCTTGCCGTATGAGGGCGGGCATTGTCCTGTTGGAATGTTAACCCAGGGCCATGACGTTGCAGAAAAGGAATTGCCACAGGTCGCAGAATCTGATCCCTGTAGCCCACACCAGTTAAGTTGCCCTGAACAATCACCAAAGAAGTTCTTTGGCGTGCTGTTAATCCACCCCAAATCATCACGGAACCACCACCAAAGCGATTCCTCTCCAAGACACAGGCCTGTGCATAACGTTCTCCCACGCGTCTATAGGCACGTTGATGTCCATCACTATGGGAAATGTTAAACCTGGACTCATGTGTAAAAACAACATTTCTCCACCAAAACAAGGGTCTGCAGACATGATTTCGGCACCACATTTGGCGAGCTTGTCGATGACGTTATGTCAGGATAGGCCGTATGGCGGGACGTCTCGGTCTGATCCCATGATGACGTAAACGTTGTCGAACTGTTTTGGGGTGGATACGGCGAAGTCCTGGGATGGTTCGGGCAGTCATCATCCAGTCATCCATATGTCCTGTCTTGGCGTTGTTACACATGGACGTCCAGAACGTGGCCGATCGATGAAGTTATTTGTGTTCTGGTAGCGTCTCACCAGTGCAGAAATGGTGTTCCGGTGGCAGTGGAAATGTGCAGCCACTTGTCGTTGAGACATTCCCCCACGGACCATCCCAATGGCCTCATGACGTTGTGCAGACGTGAGCCTTGGTATGCTATGCGTCTCAATGGCCGTTTAATTTTTTTAACGATCGCAAGGGCAGGGGTTGAGCTTTCCAAAGTGACAGTATTGTGTGTCATTTGCTCTGTTTCTCTTTCCCAGAATGCACGTGCAACAACGTATTGCAAGTCTCAAGGATGTTGGATACATGTCACTAAACTCTGAGTTTAAATCCTTATGTGTCTACACAGGTTTGATAAATTTAGATTTTAAATTTTTGTATGCACAGTTTTTTTATGTGCCTAGTATATATGAAAACTTACTTTTCAAACCTTTCACATGCAAACAAACCAGAAATTGTAATGCAATGCATTTTAATAATTGAAAATAATGAACAATGCGAAAATGGCGAACCAAACACACAACAAATAAATACGATGAGTTTAAAGTGAATTAGGAATTTGAACAATTTGCCCACCGTTCAATCATTGTATCATTGGATTACAGTTCTTTTGAACCCGTGAAGATCCGGATTAGAATTGATCTTCAGTAACTCATGCTTGTCGTAAGAGGCACCTGACGGGATCGGGTGGTCAGGCTTGGATAACAAATGTCATCGTAGATCGAAGCTCATGCTGTTGATCACTGGATTGTCTGGTCCAGACTTGAATATTTACAGACCGCCGCCATATGGCTGGAATATTGCTGATTGCGACAACAAAGACAACTCTAACATTGTAATAAGGTACTCTACATCCGGATCAGCATTGTGTGTATGGTTTAGAACCATTTATCATTCTCCGCGTTCAAGAGCCACATGTACCTTCCAGGCACTGCATAGATTTCAGAACCACCTCTTACTTGACATATGGCCCTCGGGAATCTGCTCAGCGTGTGCTGTTGTACAAAGCATATATTGCGACAAGTACTGTTTTTGTACATGTCAGTACTATTTTAGCACTTGTCACATAACGAATATGGGCGGTGTTTGCTTAATGAATGTGTATATATAAGCAAGTACGAAATTGTCGAAACTGCTTCAGCGTCGTCATGGCTTTCAGAGAAAATACTTAAAATACTATATCTGCAGAGTCATTGTGATGGTGCGCGAACATAAATGCAGAGTTATATTACGGCGTGTCTCAATTATGAACCACCAAGTCTCCGCTATATCATATCGTGTCACAGTTATTTCCCAAAGATTCTCAGTTTTATTACGGCGTGTCACAGAAATGTCACACCAAGTCTCAGTTTTATTACGGCGTGCCACAGAAATGTCACACCAAGTTTCAGTTTTATTATGGGGTGTCACAGAAATGTAGCACCAAGTCTCAGTTATATTACGGCGTGTCACAGAAATGTCACACCAAGTCTCAGTTTTATTACGGGGTGTCACAGAAATGTAGCACCAAGTCTCAGTTATGTTACGGGGTGTCACAGTTATGGCCCAAAGAGTCTCGGTTACATCACTGACTATCCTCATGAAAAAAAATCATGTTGAAGTTACATTGCAGAATGTGTCATCTATATCAGTGCTGACGGGTGTCTGGGTAATAAAATAAAGTGCTGCAGTGGTATCTGACGCGACCTTCTACCAGAGCTTGTTGGACTCAGTATAGCAGTGTAACGAATAATAATGAGCCTCAGTATACAAAAACAAAGGGAAACCTCTCCCAACATTTTTACTGTCCATCGTCGAGAGGTTTTAGTCTTCGAGATGGTTTCATCTTTATTGTATAAATTGTTTTCGTCACGATATGGCTGAGATATTGCCGATGTAACGTTACATATCAACTCACTCACTCACTCACACCTTTGTCAACATTGGCATGTGTGAAACTATTTTCTGACCTTTTAACTTTGCTAATGTGCCAGATGGTGTACTTACGTGTTTGTTAAACATCTGTGCAAAGAGTGAACAATCAGTTGACGTGCCGCAGGTTGCCCCTTAGTCTGTCGCACAGTCCCTGAATCGTCGCCGCCATTAACTAGCCTTATATGAAGCAATCTCAGATTTCCCCAGGTTCGAATCTCACCAGAGCTCCTTTTAATTTAAATGGGATTATTTGTTACTATCAAAATTATATTATATTTTCAGAAACTAAGCGTCAGTCTAGTTGCCACTCGGTGTAGTAAAGCGGGCAGTGGGAGCATCTATGGAACTCATCGTGAACATATCACAAGCTACCTATTTTATGAAGACCCGGGTTCGAATCCTTCCATACATGACTTATACCAGCTTACCAGCTTTCCTATACGCACCGGTATAAACAAGTCGTGTGACTAGTGGGTGCCAATGGTAAAGGTAGGACGTGTTTGCGTTCACTTTCGGCGAACACCTGGTGTTATTGGTGACTTGTAGCAATCAATTCAATAAGTGAATGAGTTAAAATTCAAAGTCACATCTGCAGTATTTCAGCAATATCGTCACTAAGAAATTTATAAATTCATAAATGAATAAAAACAAATTTTGATAATATTCTTGCCGATCTGCAAAGGACAGTAAAACAACAAGATTATCACAGATATAAATTTAAGACTTGTCATTAAATCTAAAATATTTTAACTATAAATTACAATACAATATAAAAGCAGGCTGTAGATTGCCAACAACTGAAGGTAGATCACCATACTATGGACCATGAGGACTTACAGTACATTTGCTTCCTGCATGGATCCTAGCTGGGTTTAAACCATCCCGTCACATGTTAGCATCAATTCAATGATGCAGATTGTCCCTGCCCTAAATCGGCTCCGGGGCGGTAGGGTAGCCTAGTGGTAAAACCGTTTGATATCGCCGCTGTATAGCTGAAATATTGCTAAAATCGGCGTAAAACTAAACTTACCCTGACTGACTGACTGACTGACTGACTGATATTCCAGCAATATCACGGCGGAGGACACCAGAAATGAGCTTCACAAATTGTACCTATGTGAGGAATCGAACTCGGGCCTTCGGCGTGACGAGCGAACGCTTTAACCACTTGGCTACCCCACACTGATTCAGCTCGCCCAAGCTCGATAAACACTATTCCTGTACCATTAACACAAGCTATATACCAGCCCTGAACCTCTGATGACCTTTTTTACCGTTCTACGCGGATAGTGTTGCAGTTAAAGCCGATGGGTTTTAAATAATGGCCGTCACAGGCCACATAACTCTTCAAAGTATAATAATATTCCAGAAGGCCAGACCGTCAAACATCTTGGAGAGTCACGTTATTCTCGCTGACATCGGCTTGCGGTGTTAGAACTGCCATTCAAAATGTTGTGCCGAACATAAATTGTAATGAGTTGTATATCATATAGTATTTTATTAAGTCTCTTATTTGATCTAACGGCCCAACTGTTAAGTAACCAACAACAGTAAGTAAAGCAAATGTAAAATAAGCTGGCTGGTATAGTCCTTCACTGGCTACTATATAAAAGTCAGTATGGCTTGGCTTCATCCGTTATTACATGTTGATTGCACTGGAACACTTTGAAGTTATATTAAATTCAAGGTGAATCAAATGTACACTTCAAAGTTGTGAAATGTGGTATATCGCCAACAGTTTGAGAAAAGTTGCAATACTGTTTTAACCTAGAAAATCATGTACAACATAAAACTCATCATTTTCAATAATATACTAAATCGCCAGTCACAGGATACAGAATACCAAATATTTATATGGAGATTTTAGTTTTATAAATAGCATGTTAATAATCATGGGTTTTCTTCTTTTTGATTATCAATGATTCATTATGAAACGTAACCAGCAACCTTAGAATCGTTACCCTGGTTCGAATACTGCAACTGCATGAAATGTCAAAAGAACAAAAATCTATTTTTACACCGTGTAGCATTTTCCCCATCTTTGAGGGATCCGTTCGTCGTCTCTTTGCCTAGATTGGCTAATGCTGTTCAGAATATGTAGGAGTAAAGTATCGTCGCAAGAATTAGTGTGTGATAAACAAGTGTCGTACACTGATTTCGTAAATAAATAAGAAACTATCAAAGTTTCCATTCTGCAAGACCCAATGAGTGACGCACAATCACGGGCAACAATATTCATTGACAGTTCTGACTATCTGTCTTGGTTACAGTGAAAAGCATAAAAACAATTACCAATGCGCTGATGTTTCCGGAAATTCCGTGATGTCATTGGCCAAGCTCGTTGTGCATATATGGTAATTCTTTTGATGTCAAGGATGAGTGAACAAAGGTTCCAGGATCATTCATTCTGTCCTTCTGTTTACACTTTCAGTTAATGATGTAAAATGTGCGTATGAATAATGAATTAAAAATTTTATTTCAGATAATGATCAACATTCAGTGTGATATCACATGATTTCTCATTAAGGTACAGATTCTGGTACTTTAATGTTTTGAGTACTGTCCAACACTCTCAATGTTAGACAACTAATCACAAGCACGGTAAAGTCAGCGATCTAACCTACTTTGCGGTTTACACCAAGTGGAATTCTGGCAACTGATAGTCTAGATCACGTACTTTGTGTACCCCTCCGACAAGTGTGACATGCTTTCGGCCGTGGGTGTCGTTAAGTTGCAGCTTACACTTGTGAGAGGTGTACGTTTTAGTTTACGTTTAGTCCTGACGTTTAGTCACATGAACGTTTTTGATTTTTATGAGTTTTTGTCTTCGATACGTTTAATGTCACAAGGTAGGTTAAAATCTTAGCCAACAATCTATTCAAGGCACATTTCTATGAATTCTTTTGAAATTAGGTTTTAATAAACTGAAGATAAAAAAGTATGCTTATATATTATAAGCAATAAGCACATTCTTTTTTCCTTCATGGAAGGATAGGCGGGTTCTAGTATTGCACGTGGAATGGTAAGGTTAATACAGCTGACACTCGCTACATGACCTCACACGGGTGTGTAGGTAAACGTGAACCCAGAACCCTTCATCTTGGCATTCCACTTTTGATCAAATCTCTCGCTTTCTGCCACAGTGAACCAATTCTTCCAGTCTCCGATTTCACCTGAAAGAGAAAACGAATGTAGCAAAGAACCCGTATTGTGATATGAAAATGTTTGTAAAGGCGAATTATGTTGGAAACGTAATAATGGATGAAGCAAAGGTAGGGGGTAAACTATCATTACCATTTACTACTACCTCTACTACTACTACTACTACTACTACTACTACTACTACTACTACTACTACTACTACTACTACTACTACTACTACTACTGCTACTACTACTACTACTACTACTACTACTACTACTGCTACTACTACTAATTTTTTTTTTTTTTTAATAATAATTGTTTTATTCATTCAAAATCAGTAGATACAAGTATACAAAGTACATGATGCAACAACACTTGTACATCGTAGAACAGCATATGGGTTGGCATTACAGATATTGGGATCTTCATTTGGCTGGGAATGTGTGCAGTAGAGATGACCATTTTCTGTCAAATTGTAATATTTTTTTATTCTTACTGGCAATAAACTTTTCTGTCTTGAAAATATCACTCAATATTTTTACAAATGTATCCAGTGATAACTTATTTTTTTTAATACTTGATATATGGATATATATTGTTTACTGGCAAGAAGTATGTGATTCATAAGGTCGTTATTATCTCCGCCAATTAAGACTGTATATTTTGTCAGGGTAAAAGTTTTCTGATGATTTATCTTCAATATATTCTTTCAGTTTCAGCCAGAACGTTTTCACACACTCACATTCCCAATAAACAGGTATCAACTTTTCTAACATTCAATTACAAAATGAGCAAGGTTCATCATCTACTAATTTCATTCTCAATCATTCTTTCTTTGTTTAGACAATATTGTGGAATAAATTTAAACTGGAAGTCAATCAATTTAGTATCTTTTGTACATCTTCTATATTTTCAAAAAATATCTTGCCATGGAATTGCAATATCAAAGATATTTTGCCATTTTTCACATGTTGAATGTAGGTTTTCAGTGGTTATAAGTTTATCATAGAAATATCTGGATCTCTTTGGTGCTGAAAGTAAATCTATCAGTGATGTGTTACGATAATTATTATGAACAATCAATAAATTCTTTCTTATAGTTCCTTTCCATTTTTGTGGTATATTTGAAAGAACCTGATCATAGTCAAGAATTGTGCCTTTAATTTTGTAAGTTTTCTTAAGTTCACTAAATGGCAAAATACCTTGATCATTACACAAGTCTCTTATAGAGTGAATACCTTTGAGATGCCAATGTCTTATAATGAAATTACTATTTTGGAATTGGTGATTGAACCAAAGGGGTTGGGATAAGATTTGATCAATATCTGTAAAATCAGTTTTATGTGTTTTATAGAATATTCCCCATGCAGCCAATACATCTTTCCAAAAGGGATTCATAATACTGACATAATTTTCAATATTGGCTCCAAGCAGAAATATATCTTTAAATGGAAAGATACTAGGGCTAGAACTGCTATTATTTTGAAGATATTTATGTAAAACTGACAGTTTTAAAGAGTTTATGAATACCTGTACATTAACCATTCTGAGTCCCCCCTCTTCATATTTTCTAATAAGTGTCGTTCGCTTTATCTTATCCCGCTTATCATTCCAGATGAATTTATAAAATATATTGTTTAATTTGTCAATGAATTCCTTTGGAGGATTTGGGAGTGAAGTGAATATATGCACCAATGATGAAAGTGCTTAAGTTTTAATAACAGTTATTTTCCCTATTAATGTCAACTTTCTTTTCCTCCAATTCCCTAGAGTTCTATTAATAATTTCTAGTCTTCTTCTTGTATTAATTACCCAAATGTTATTTAAATTAGGATTAAGTCTTATTCCTAGAATATCAAAATCCCCATTATGCCAATCAAGCTTAAGATCCTGGCATAAAATCATGCTATTACCTGCCATTGAGCCAATCCACACTGCTTTGGTTTTATCTATATTTATTCTTAAATCAGACATTTTGTAGAAATTATTGAGAGTGTCAGTTGCTGCCCTTAAACTTTCTTCACGCCCATCGAGAAATAATTCAGTATCATCTGCATACTGTCCAATTTTATGTTCAGTGTTATTCAATGTAATTCCTTTTATTGCAGTGTTGTTACTAAAATTTCAGCCACTAAGATGAATATATAGGGAGAGACTGGGTCCCCTTGTCTACAGCCCCTTTCAATGTCAAAAAATTATGATAAATGACCATTCTGTATAACACATGATGTAGCATTATTGATTAATATTTTGATCCATTTTTCCATATTGGGTCCAAAGCCAAACTTTCCAATTGTTAAAATTATAAATTCTTTAGAGACAGTGTCAAAAGCTTTTTCAAAGTCAATAAGTAACAAGAGTCCCTTTTTATCTTGTACTTTTGCTTCAAACATAATGTCGTATAATAATCTAATGTTTTCGCTAATACACCTTCCAGGTATAAAACCTGTCTGAGTTTCATGAATAAGAGTATTCAATGTTTTTTTAAGTCTATTGGCTATACATGTGCTGAGTATTTTATACAAAGAATTCAGTAGGGAAATTGGGCGCAAGTTTTTTAACAACTGTCTATTTTTGTTAGCTTTTGGAATACATGTGATGACGCCTCTGTTTATTGTTGGACTTAACATATTTTGCCTGAATGCTTCAGATATATATCTACAAACTCAAATATGAAGATCTTTCCAGAAAAATGTAAAAAATTCTATTGGGAAACCATCTGCTCCTGGGCTTTTGTTGTTTTTCATTGATTTAATGGCTCGTGTTATTTCATCTATAGTAATATCACCCTCAAGATTTTCAGCCTGTACAGTGTGCAGTTTGGGTGTAATAATATCATCAAATATATTAATATATTCATCTGTTATTTTACCACCTGATGAGTATAGATTTTCATAAAATTGTCTTTGTTCATTTAATATAGCCTTACCATCTGATATTATTTCCCCTTTGTCATTGATAACACTATTCATAAGCTTAATGGTATAATTTCTTTTTTCGAGATGACAGAAATAGTTGGTTGGTTTTTCTCCTTCCTCATACCACTGAATTCTATTTCTTATCTGTATACCTCTTATTTCATCTTCTTTTAATTTTTCAAACTCTAATACATTTGGATAGTTCAGAAAGTTTAGTTTCACATATGGTTTGGAAATTTTCTCTGATTTCTTCTTCCACTGCAAAAATTTTCCTTCTAAATTTTTTTTTTTTTCAGTTTTGATTTTTTTTAAGTAGGAAGAGAATGATATTGTTTCCCCCCTTACTTTCATTAAAATGTTTCTAAGAACAAAGTGTCGCTTATATTAAGTTGTAGTTTAGAATCTTCAATGTCACTGTGTTTACATATTCTTGGTTATAAAGTAATGATGTATTTAGTTTCCAGTATCCTCCACCCCGTTCCTTATTAAGTTGATTAGAAAAAGACATGGTAATTGCTGAATGATCAGATGTATATCCTGGAAGTATTGAACAGTCAGTTGTCATGTTTGCTAAATCTGGAGAAACTAAAAAGAAATCAAGTCTGGACTGTTGTTTAGGGTTTCTTTTCCGCCATGTGTATTTCTTTGCATCATAATTTCTCTCCCTCCAAATGTCTGTCAAATCATACTTTTCTATATTATCTAACACTACATTTCTTGCTTTTGGGTTATTGATATTTTTATACTTTTCTAAGTCTATGGAAGGATTAAGAACTAAGTTCCAGTCTCCGCATATCATGAAAGATTCATTTTCAAATTCATCAATTTTATGAAATAATGCATTATAAAAATCAGGTTGATCTTGATTAGGACCATATATATTAGTCAATGTGATTCTTATTCCTTCTATAGTTACATCTGCTATTATATAGTTTCCACTGTTGTCAGTCATGAATTTGTGGATACTTACTTCCAAATTATTTTTAAATAAAATAGCGACCCCTCTTGCATTTGATATATATGGTGCTATAATGCTTTGAAGACCCCATTCATTTCTCATAGTAGTTTCATCTTCCCGGGAAATATGAATGTCTTGCAGACATCTTGGACCTCAGAAATGTTATCTTTCTTTGGATGTTTGGTTGTATATTTTTTTTCAGATAACTGACAAATAAATCGATTTTATTAAAAAAAAATGTAATCACTTTGTTGCCTTGGGTTTGAGATTCAGATTGAAATGAGACGCCTTATACCTTTCCTGTAGAATGTTCCTTCGCTGCCGTCTGCCCAGATCTTCATTGGACCGTCACCTTTTATTTCCTCGTCAACCTTTTTCATCTTCTTAAAGGAACAAGCAAGTGCGACCTCTTCACAGTACTTGTCAGTAGATGATAGGCCGAGGAATTTGGCGATGTCTTTAACAGCCTTAACAGGACTCTGGAAATAGTGGTGTTAACAGTTTTGAATTTTTGTCGCCATGTTTTAAAACATTGTTTTGTGTTATGGCATATCTTTATACGATTTTCTCGATTGGAAATAGCTTCTGTTGGTGGATATCGATACACCGAAACGTCGCATCTACAATACTGACTGACTGAATTTGGTTTTACGCCGCTTTTCGCAATATTCCAGCAACATCACGGCGGGGGACACCAAAATGGCATCTACAATAATTGCAACTGAATAAAGAAGTTGTCTATCCATAAAACATAGTTTCTAGACCCATCTAAATATCAGTGAATGTTGTTCATTTATCCCTCACACGATTACTGATTTACTGATTCAAATTTAAGGATGTAATCCGAATATTGAACTGATTCAGCGAGTCGGAACACGCAATCGCATCAGCCGCCTTATGCGACAAGCATGTAGCGCTGAAGATCAATTGTAACCCGGTTTTCGCTCAAACGATTATCATATTAGCTCTGCACGAAATTTGTGAAATATCGTACAACTTTTATTGGCGATTAGGTGCCTGACTCTGAGGGTGTGAGTTCGAATCCCGGATGGGGCTCAACTCAAAAAAGTACTAGAATTTGTACTTTACTAAGAAAGTGTAATCCCAAATATAACATATGTTACATTTGACCACTTTCTAAACGGCATTGTGTAATCATAACTTTTAATGGTTCTTGTATAGTATAGGGTACACAAATACCCCAGGTCTGTGTAAACAAGAATACTTTTGCAAGTTTGCAGCCAATAGAAGAAAACATACAACACCTTGCGTTGTTGTATAATTGTAAATACTTACAATTTTCATGTACTCGTAGTACATATCAAGGACAGGTAACTCTGGTGCAGCTGCCACTTCGGTTTTCCATGATAGCAGATAGGTGGAGTAGGATCCAAACGGACCTAGGAAGTAGATAGGAAATAGATAACTATGAAACACAAAACTTAATCCGTTTCCTGTTTAACAGGGGACGTGTGGATGTCGGACTATGCAGTTCCATCTATCATAATCAGGTGTCATCATAATCATAATCACTATCAAATAGTGATGGTACCAGGTGTCCGTGAAGACACCAACCATACAAGGAGTGTTTCACAAAGTTAGTCCACCAAGTTATGCCACGTGGATACACCCCTCACACACTGTATACTCCCAGCCGATCAGAAATTGATCTATTTCCTTAATATTGAGCGCCAGGAAGGTGGCAAGAACAAAATATCTTCACAGTCAGGAGGTCTGTTTTTGTCACTCGACCGTGATCGAACCACAGACTTTCTGGGGCCGTATTTATAAAAATTCTCAGAAATTTCTTAAGAATACTCTTAAGTCGCTAAGAAAATTCTCAGCTAAGAGTTACACTTAAAAGTGTAGTTATAATGACTCTGAGCGTACCTCTTAGCTAAGAGGAAAAGGAAACTCTGAGCGTAATTCTTAGAGCTGACATTGGTCGTAACCAGGGGATTCCCTGTGCTATATTTAGAATTTAAAGCACTCTTCCGGTTTGGAGGCGAAACTTTATACCACGTGACGCAAGCCAAATTGGACATCTGACCAGACATTGCTGTTGGTCCAACTTGTTGATGAGCGGAAGTCAATCATCAAGGGCAAGTTTGGACCGGGAGTAACATCAAGAATGAAGAAGGAGGCATGGGGGGCATGGGGAGGTGGCAGCCAATATCAATGCTGCATTTCCTAACGTTGTTAGGTCAAACGATGACTGCGAGAAAAGATGGTACAACATCCAGTCCAAGTCAAGGCAAGAAATATCTGCTTTCAAGAGACAGCTCAGTGGCACTGGTAAGTAATTACATTTCTAAGTCTTTTGATCACAGATATCTTGGAAAATGATAATATTATTCAATTTCAAATTTTTATGCACACTATACAAGCCTCAATTATTTCAAGTATACACAAAGTTAGAGTTAGATACAGATATATAGTACATGTGAACACACACTCGTAGATATATATGAGAATTAAAGAGCTACATGTATTTTGTTTCAATACAAGTTTTTAAAATAAGGTTAGTTATACTGATATATGGGCCAGTGTATGAACTGAAAAACATTGCTTGATACTTGTACATACATGTATGTTGTATTTCTACGTGAGAGATGTGTTCTCATTTATACAACATAATCTACAGGGGCATATTCCTAGAACATAAATAAATGTAAAAAAAGTTAGTAAAACATATTAATTGTAATTATTTTCAGAGTTTGTTTTATTATACACTATCTTGTAAATTCAAACATGATAGCTACATAATTGAGTAATATGAACCATGATACAATAGACATGAGCCACTAGTATAGAACCAGTGTTTAGAAGAATGATCACATTTCACATGTTTTCTACACCTAACAAAAGACTGATCTATGCAAAAATTAATAATTTTTTTTATTTCTTTTATTTGATATCGGTTATTAAATGCATCAAAAAGTACATAAGCATTCAAAATTTTGAAATGTTTGCAGGTGGAGGGCCTGGTCCAAGCAAGCTGAGTGCTGTTTCTGAAGCAGTTTATGATGTTCTTGGCCAATCCAATGTCAGCATAAGTGGAATTGAGGGGAGCTTCGATTCAACCCTTTTACAGGTCATGGACATATCAAACTGGTTAACAATTTTTCCTTTTGGTTTACAATACTTTTTTAATATTCACTTTAAATTTTACATTCAAACATTCATTTAAAATATTTCTTTTCACAGACAGACAGACAGACAGTTTATTCAGTAATTTAGGCCAAGTGACACATAGTAAAGTTACACATTTTCAAAATGTACATACTTATCATGTATTAAATATATATTATATAAACACATTTTTCAGAAAACGAGCAACAGAGGTAATAACATCTTCATTCTTAGAATTTAAAAGATTTATCATAAAATGTTGATCCTTATACCCTGTACATAAGTTTGGAAGATATTTATTTCGCAGGTCTCGATAGTGCTTGCACACAAATCACACATGATATTCATCGTCGACGTGGTTGCTATTACATTTTACACATAAAATTTCACTTGGATTCAAATTGTTATATTTACGCTAAGAGTTTACATTGAAATCATGCAAGGTCATTCTGAATTTACAGAAAACTCTTCTCATAGATTTGTCATGCAATACAGTTAAATATTTCTTTTCAGAAGTCAGGAAGCTGCTGTCGTTGAAGCTGAAGCCTGCTTCCCCCTGGATGTGCTAGCCTCACCCCAGCCCAGCTGTGCAGCTACAGCAGCATTCTCCACTCAAGTTCTACCCTGCACAATGAACGGACACCTCAGTGACAAAGAACTTTCCAGGAAAAAAACATTGTTGCAGATTGACGTGCTTCAGCTTCAGAAAGAATTATTAATGCTTAAATTGGAAAAGATGAAGACAGATCAATCTGATAAGTAAATGCAAGAACTATGTCTGTACATGCTTTCCAATATCAAAATTGTTTGAATTAGTACAGGGGTAACATGGTTATAGTAGAGATATTGCAGTTACTCCTTAAAAATAATGTTTGTACTGATTTTCATGCATTTTCTAAATAAATGTTGCTTCATACTCTGAAAATGAACATTTGGGAAATGCTGTCTGTATCGCTGTCCATCAACGGTGGAAGTTTGTTGTGGGGGAAGGCTACCATCAACACTATCTTCACCATCATCACTGTCCCCATCCTCATCGCCCTCATCATCAGTGCCTTCATCAGGAGGTATATAAAGATTCCTCTGCTTGCATAGGTTGTGCAGTATGGCACAAGCAATGATTATCCTACATGCTTTCTCTGGGCATACCCTCACTTCACTATGCAAAACATGAAACCTTCGCTTTAGCTGACCAATCCCCCTTTCTACAACAGCTCTTGTGCGCTTGTGTGCTCTGAAATATAAGCAAAACAAAATTTTTAATTTTCTATTGACAGTATATCTCTGTCCCTTAAAAGAAACATGAAATTTGAACATATGTCACTATCAAAGAGAAGTTGGAACTTACATTGTGCAGTGTCTTGTCATAAAATATTTTCCCAAACAAATATACATGACATATGTAACAATGGATATAAAGTGGAAAGTCTTTTTTACCTAAGAGCTATAAGCATCTTGTATATTTAGTAAGTTATTTATTCATTAAATGCAGGTGTCATTTTTCTACAATATAATCAATATCATGAATCATTGCATCTATTAAGTGTTTCTTTTCACAAATATCATACATACAGAATGTATTTAGAATCATATTTTATTTGCCATTAAAATAACTATGTAAAAACTGAAATAAGATTGGTAAGGACTATTTGCATAAAGTCTTCTCAATTGAATTTTTTTTTCTAAAATATATTTATTTCAGATTATTGGCTTCAAAATATCTTTTTTTGCTAACTGGATGTCAGTGAAGTGATGTATTTTAAAAAAATGTTCTGATAACTCGATGGCAGAGATGTTGTGTATTTACAAAAATATCATTTGGTTTTAATTTGATGGGAGTAAAGGTATGTATTTAAAAATATTCATATTGATAACTGGATTGTAGTGAAGTCATGTATACTTTTGTGATGATGCAGGGTAAAGTAATAACAGCTTGTGTTACAATTTGATTAATATATACAAGGAATAATGATCTTATTTCTGGGATTGTCCTGCATGATTTTAGTAGAAACCCACAAAGAAAGGGAAATTACTCTAACCAATAAAGTTAAAGGGGATGTTGCAGACCGTGCCCTTTTTATGACAGGCTGAACATGTGTGCATATCCGTCAGAACTCTCTGTGGGTAGGTAAAATGTAGTTTTTATGAATGCAAGTTCGTAATAATGGTTTTTTTTAGCACACGTATCTATCGTTTATAGATCACGAGGTAAACAAAACAAGGACACATATCATACCTGTTGTAATCTGTTTGGGGGCCGGGTAGAGGTCTCAAATATGGCGTTAGTAACCAGCGTTTGCAGGGGTAGCAACTGTCTCCGAGTAGATGGCAACTTGTGGGCATGTAGTTCCTCTCAAACAGCACTTTTAAACCACTCTCGTTTAATATGCGAGCGTCATGGGTAGAACCAGGCCACTTCGCGATCACATCCAAAATGTAATAATCGGCATCGAATACAAACTGTGTGTTGATGCTGTGATAATGTTTTCTGTTCACGTATTCTGCCTCATGATCTCACGGTGCAATTACTCGTACGTGTGTACCGTCAATGACACCAATGACGCCTGGGAAACCTGCTATGTTCATGAACGCTGCTTGTTTTCTTTGTATTTCACGCACATGAACTGGGAATTTTATGAACTGCTTGACGATAGATGGCGATGTCAAAGCATTTAATGTATCATTGATGACACAGCTGACCGTGGACTGTGACGGTCCCAAGTCATCTCCATTGCACATTTGCATTTTACCTGTGGCTAAGTAGCGTAAGGTGATGGCAATTTTCAGTTCAGGTGCGATAGAGTAATTTCTGTCCGTGGGTGATTGCAAAGATTCTCTCACCAAATCTGTCAAAAATATGATTCCCGCTCGATCAAAACGGAATCTTTTGACTAATTCATTGTCATCGTAAAAAGTTAAAACGTCCTTACGTTCTCGAAAGTTTCTGAGGTGACGGATGCGTTGTCTAGCGGCCGCCATTTTGTTGAGTTAAGAAAATTCTTAGGTAGATTAGGAGTCCTCTGTGAGGACTCCTAACATTTGCTCACTCTAAGAGTACTCTTAAGAGTAAAGATGTTTTATAACTAGGTCTTAAGAAAATTCTGAAACTTAAGAGTAACTCTCACAAAAATCTCAGTATTTTCTACACTTAGGAGTAACTTTTAATTCTTAGAATTTTTATAAATACGGCCCCTGATCTCTGACTGGACGCTCTGTACACTTGGCCACATATGCGCTGAGATGACTGCCTGGACATGTTGCAGACTTTGTCAAGTGAGAATCGTGACTGTTCATACGATAACACCTGTGATCATTTTGGTGTTTGTTCTCGTTGGCTGCTTGCACGATGGAATCAGGCCTTTGCTTGAATTCTTGCATAAACATAACAGCAAGTGGCGATTACTCCAGAAAGTATTAATAAGCATTGAAGGTTGATGGATGAACTGTATGAACTATGGACTATGAAGTGATTAACCACTCAGTGCACTTACATTTCTCTGACAAAAACGCCTCTGTAAACTCCACGAAGTCCCCCTCATAGTTATATGGTGGAGTCACATCTCTGCAGTGGTTGAAGAAGGACACACAGACATCCTTAGGGTTGCGCATGATCTGAATACACTTGATCTTCTTCTCCACGACCTGTTTAGGGAGCATGCGCAGAGGGAGGTGGCTGTTGAAGACACGTGGCTGTGGCACTGCTTCTATTCCTTCTTTGAAGATGAATTCCAACATCCTGGTTTCTTTGACATCCTTTTGATAATGGATGGTCCCACTGATTAGCATCTCGAGGACTTCCCACAACCAGTGGGTTCCTAAAACAGTTAAATCTAGTCAGACCCTCCACAAAAACCTAACGTTTAGTTTAAACATATTTTGTGTCTGCTATATATTTTGTAACATGTCCAGAAACATGCACAGTTATGGACTTTGAAACAGGAAGATCTCCTCGTCCCACGTAAGTGAAATCAATGAATTTTGTGTGTGTGTCCTTTTCGTCATTGCGTGAGCAGCAAAAGAGAGGTAGACACCAGAAATGGGCCTCACACATTATACCCACGGTCGAAGAGAGCCTGGATCTTTGAGCGGACGCTTTAACCACCAGGCTACCCGTTTTTCTTCTGTGAAGACATACTCAACCATCCAGTTGTTCTGTACACCTGGGCGGTGGGGTTCGATTCCCCACATGGATACAATGTGTGAAACCCAATTTTGGTGTTCCCGTGGTGATATTGCTAGAAGATTGCTAAAAGCGGCGTTAAACCAAACCCACTCACTCACTCCTGCACAAATAATACTGACATATAATGGGCTTCACACATTGTACCCACAAGGGAATAGAGCCTGGATCTTTGAGCTAACGATTTGACCACCAGGCTACACTTTGTTTCTGTAAAGACATGCTCGACCACATAATTGTCTTGTACACCTAATACTGACTGAGATAACTTACTTCAGTATTATTGAATCAACATTTTGTTTGATCCCTTAGCGACGTCGGGATCCGAGATTCTATCACAGATTCATCTCAATATCATACCCGTGCTGAGTTTTGTACATACACGCCTATTACTGACGTTAAATCAACCATTCCTCCATGCACAGGTATATATGTGATTTCCATCTCACCCAGATGGCAGAGATCGCTCTCCGTCAAAGGACTGCCGGTTGTTGAATCACTCCCTGTGTGGCAATAATGCCACAGGAGCTGGGGACACTGTTAATGACATGTAATAACATACAGAGTACATACCGCATTTGGGATACGCACAGATAATGATGTCATCGTCCTTCAGTTCGGCTTCTGTGACACTTTTTATTCTGTCTGCTTGTTTCTGTCCCTTCACCAGGTGTTCAGGCAACATGAAGAAATACAGCCCATCATGCTTGAAACAGCGGAATCCATGTCCTTTCGAATTCTTCGTATCGGCAAGCTCACTCAGGTCAGGGTCCCTGGTCATAACCGAGATATATAGGCATTGTGTTTGATTATATCCTTAATCTCGTCCCTCAATCCATCCATCCGTCCATTAATCCATCAATCATCCATCCAACCATCCCTCCATCTCTTCATCAATCCATCCATTGCAAATAAGTTATCTACGCAAAACAAACACTGAAGAATGACGAAGTGTACCGGTGCCTGCAATCAAGGGTTGTGAGTTCGAATCAAGGCTCGGCCTTTTTATACTTTTAGCTTGCGCTCAAACATCAAACACTTGCATCATTCCTTATCAGGTTGATACGCAGCGATATATTTGAAACAATACTCAATCTATGGAGTTCACGTACCAATGGAAAATGGAAAAAATGAAAACATTAGCTACATAATTAGTCAGTCTTTTCTACTGAATACCAAAGACTATTCTGGTGTATCTTTAAGTCAGATATTGTCATAATACACACAAATACACCCTGATAACTACATCGTCACTTACTGGTGAATTGCATGCATCTCCGCAACGACCTCATTATGCAGGCCTCTCCATTATAACCTTACCTTCTAGCACTATTCATGGGATCGTCAATAGGATAGGGAAATGTCAGAACAAAAACCTAGTTTAGCATGCATACCAAAGCGGGGGACGCCAGAAACGGGCGCCACCCTTTGTACGATTACTCTGTATTGAAACATGTATCTCAGAACAGCTGTACGTTTGCAGAACCATACCTCCATTAAACAGTCAAATTTACATGCACTTTCAACACTTTTAATAGTCAGTACAATTGTGAAGACTGTGTAGGGACTTTGAAACCAATTCAGAAAAAAAACAACAAGAAGAGACTTACATCACAGACGTTTCGCCCTCTGAAGCCATGGTGACTTTCCGCGGCCTTGTTCAATGCAGTAATGCATTACACCATCAAAATGGGTCATATAAATGATAAGCTGCACTGAGGTGAAGGACGTTCGTAATCTACTATTTGTGGCACTGTACACAGTAGGCTAGTCTGTCTCACAGTCCCTGAACCACATTATTTTCCCTACTTCCAAGCCCTCTCTGCAGTGCTAAAGCCCTAAATAAAGCAAGTCTAGGTTTCCTCAGGTTCAGGATCTCTGGTCTCCCTAGGGCTCCTTTTCAATATAAATGGGCTTGTTTGTTACTATCAAAATTATATATATTCAGAGACTAAGCCTTAGTCTAACAGTAGGCATGCGCAAGACTGCAAAAATTCAATTGCAGTGCGCTTACAAGTGTATACAATTCCCGTAACTTTCGGTCAGTCATTGTAACAAGTAGAAGTTGGTTGGTTGGCTGTTGTTTAAGGCAACACTCAGCAATGGCGGCGGTCTGTAAGTAATCGAGTCTGGACCAGACAATCACTGATCAACACCATGAGCATCGATCTTCGCTTTTGGGAACCGATGACATGTGTCAACCGACCACCCGATCCCGTTAAGAGCCTTTTGCCACAAACAGGGTTGCTGAAGATAAATTCTAATCCTCATCTTCACGGGTCAACAAGAAGAGTGAGTGAGTGTGTTTAGTTTTACGTTGCACTCAGTGATATTCCAGCTATATGGCGGCGGTCTGTAAATAATCGAATCTGGACCAGACAATCACTGAATAAAAACACTATGAGCATCGATCTACGCAAATGGGAACCGATGACATGTGTCAACCAAGTCAGTGAGCCTGACCACCCGATTCCGTTAGTCGCCCACAAACAAAAAGAAGCTACAAAAGGATAAACATACGAATAGTACTCTTCAATGTGTTATCTGTCAGCGTTATTTTCGGTGTAACAATGTTCTAAAGTAATACATTGTATAAGTGGATAGTCAGTGAGGGAAAGTGGTGTGTTATATTTAGACTAGTGCTATATTTAGACTTGTGCTAGATGTAGACTGGTGCTATATTTAGACATTACTAGATTTAAACAGAAAGTTCTGGAAGCTGCTGCGGGGTAGTACTTTCGAGTTTCTGATTTGTGTGTATATAAGGGAGCTACCCATTGCCCCTCATCTGAGATTCCATGGAAATTTTATTCATCATTTGGGGCTGGATTGTGGCCAAGCTATTTTAAAAGTGTACGAACATAGATCACCAGAAGTGACAGCCTTGCGAGAAGCTGACAAAGAGCAGAATTCTGGTTATTCAATTTTTGACATGTGTTTTTTGAACGATGCATAGGACATGATGGAGTTGATTCATACTATGAGTGGAATAAATTTGGTGTTTTGCTGCAAATTGTGAATAGATAGTGATGTATTTTTACAAGGCTTTCTGATGTTTAAGTTAGATGTTGTTTGTTTATGTTTGGGGCTGTGCATTGTAATTGAGTTTGAATATCTTTATAATAGAAGGTAATGAGATAGTGAGGGTCCATAATAATTGTGGAGGAAAAAAAAATATAATTGTATTTTTCGAGTTTGATAAATATTTTATAAGCATTTCCATCACGTCTGTGTTGTGTTGATGTTAGCCATGTTGGTGGTCAAACTGAAGTAGTGCGGCAGTGTTGTATACGTGCGCAGTGAAGCGGTCATGAAATCAGACGCATTTTCAATCCAAGATTGATAGTGTCTAATTTTATTGATTGTCCAATCAAGTCCGAGTATTTCACGTAGTCATGGCAGAATATCACAATCACCGCTCTTTATTATATTAACTTTGAATTTGCACTACCACTCTAGTTTGTACCGCCATGGTGACTGATACTTTTGTATTGATTCCTTTTGAAATGTAAACTTAGCTATTTTTAGAATACAACTATTCTGTCCCTATTCCTTTGAGTTAAGCGCTATATAAGTTACCTTATTATTCATGGAAGGCCAATAGAAAAGAAGGTTAGGATCTCAATGTCCATAATCTGAATATCCAATGAGAAAACATCTTCATAGACTGATATGTGTAATGTGAGCTGAGATATGCATACGCCCACAGCATACATATAGAATCTGAATGTGTTGTTCTAGATGCTTCCAGACTGTCCTTGACATTGTGTAAACATAGCAACTTATTTTCACACAACTGTCCTGCTCTTACTCAATGTCATACCATTACAACGTCGTCATACTATACATTCCTCTACCTCCTTCTGAAATAGAATTCTTGCAGGGCAGTAGCCAGGGAGCTAGTAACTGTAAACTCCTGAATGCATCAACTACCTCTCCTACAAAACATCATTGAAATTATTTGTGTTAAATAGATAACTATACAATCAAGGATAGTATTAAACATTTTCACAGTTGCGCTGTAAAAAGAAAAATAGAGCAAACCAAACACAAACTGGTTCGAATCAAGTCAGCAAGATGACTTCTAAAAATAAGTCCAAGCAAATGCTTATAATTACTTATACCGTTATAGTATATGCCACGTAACGTACTTTCAAACGTTTCACCAGGTCAATGAAAACAGAAATTGTAATGCGAATAGTTTTTAACAATAGAATATAATGGACAATGCAAAATGGCAAAACCAAACACAAACAGGTTCGAAGGATGTATCTATCAAAGAGGAAGGTTATATTTGCGGACAAATTGCAAGAGGTGTATCTGGTAACAATACTAACAAAGCAGAGCATGGTTCTTGTTTTGCAAACCGGTGAACAGTTGGATCAAAGTCAATCAAGATTCCTACGGACGTGAAGAAGTTAAATGGGCCGCTCAGTTACTATAAGTGTCCTTTGGAAATACTCTCTCCCCAATTTCATCTGTCAGGTTATGTAATGAACTGGCACCGAAGGGTGTGTTTCAAATCAACCACTCGGACAAAAAACAGTCTCTGTTCTAAGTGCTGTGACAAATGGTCAGGCAAGGGACATAACAGGTTCCTCTTCCAGTTCATTTCAGATGTACATCCAGCGGTATTGTAGTCCAAATTAACAGGTTCCTCTTCCAGTTCATTTCAGATGTACATCCAGCGGTATTGTAGTCCAACAAAACCTTGGAAGGGTCATATTTGCTTGGCAAATCCTAGGCTTTCTTTGACCCTATCCCATGCAGTTGCACCTTCACGGATGAAAAGCACAGCTTCACAAGAGGCTCGTATGGGATCAATGGTTGCACGTTAAAACATGAATCGTTTATACGCTAAAGTGCACAGTAACAACCAGACCACTGATGAAATCAAAAGACTAAATGAAACTTGGAAGGGACCTCGATCTCGAGTCACCATCCTGTTCAAGGGCAGTCAGACTTTCGACAACAAAATGAACACGATGAGTTTAAAGCGCATTAGAAATGTCCACGATTTATCCACCGTTGAATAGTCTTCTGTCGACACACCACTGCCTCGATGGATTACAGTTCCTTTGAACACGTGAAGATCCGGATTAGAATTGTTCTTCAGCAAACCATGCTTGTCGTAAGAGACGACACATATCGTATCCCAATTGTGTAGATGGAAGCTCATTCTGTTGGTCACTGGACAGTCTGGTCCAGACTCGATTATTTACAGACCGCGGCATCATAGCTGGAATACTGCTGATTGAGGCGTTAAACAAGTAACCAACCAACCATTCAACAAGGAACTCAACATGCGGATGCGCATTATGTCTGCCCCTGAAGGGTCGGGAGAGATATTGTTTTGGGTTGAGTTTCCGTTGGCGTTGGCGTTGGCGTTGGCGTTGGCGTCGGCGTTCCCATTGTTTCCAGAACATAACTCTAAAACTACTTGAAAATCTTAACCAAATTTGGTATACTGCCTCTTCATATCATGTAGATGTGCCTTCTGGGGGTTTGAACTTTTCTTTCAGTTTTATTTTTTTTCTGTTTCAATGGCAACAAATTTGGACTTGGTCTTTTTGAAAGGTAGGGTTTGTGTTCGGAGCATAACTCTGAAACCACTTCACCTATCTTCATCGAAGTTTGTGTACATAATTCCAATACCAATAATTAGTAAGCTTAGAAGCATCAACCATATACATGTACTGCTATGAAACTTGTATAATATGTTTTTCCAGAGATTTTAGAGATTTTGAAATTGAAGGAATCAAACGAATTGTTCGAGGTCTCAACTCTGAATTGGGGGAAGGGGGAGACATCTGTTTTTACGAGTAAAAACACTTTCAAGTTGTATATGTATATGGTGTAGAACCATATATCGTTCTCCGCTTCGAGCATGAGACGCCTTTCAGCTTCAAGTAGAGCAACAAGGACCTCCCAGTCACTGCATAGATTACAGAGCCACCCGTTACGTGACACGACGCCCTCGGGGAACCTGCTCATGGTGTGCTGTTGTACAAATACAGCCATAGGGAATGGGAGTTACGGTCAACCCCGACTCCTTTGAACAACGGTATCCTTTCAACTTGATGTAGAGCCACAAGGACCTCCCAGTCACTGCATAGATGTCAGAGCCACCTCTTACTTGACATAACACCCTGGGGGGAACCTGCCCACGGTGCTGCTGTTCAATACACCCTAGCGTACAGCCGCCACACAGCTGGAATATTGCTGGGTGCGGCGTTAAACAACAAACTTTCAAGGCATATATTGCAACAAGTACTGTTTTCGTACCTGTCACTTAATGAAAGTGATGTTTGATTAATGAACGTGTATATAGATTTGTGCAAAGAGATGTGACACAAGCCAGAAAGAATGCTATTACAAAACACACACACACACACACACACACACACACACACACAAACCAACTAAAAAAAAACAGTGATTAAAGACTGCATTCAATTACAGTAAGTAATATCCTTTGAATTGACCAGATTTGTGTTTCACACATATTGTCTGATTTGCAAAATTTTCAGTCAGGCATTATGTGTAAGAGAAGGCTATAGATTTTAGTCGAATTTCACGGCACTTCACGAAATGACTGATTCATTTAGTCATTACGCGAAATGACTGATTACACAGATTGACTGTAACATATATACGCACGAACGAAACTCACGAAGCTGCTTTAGCGCATGGCATTGAGCGCAATACGAAGAGAAAATAATTAAAATACTATTTCTGCCGAGTCATTGTGATGCTGCCCGATCAGAAATGCAGAGTCCGCTGTTTACATTTGACATTATCCTCTCGTGACCTCAGACCGCTGACACACTTGCATGACGAGACAGGCATACCGGCTTTTTGTCAGGCTGCCTGACCCCGCGTCGCTTATCAGTGACCGACCTGCGAGCTTTAAGAAGAAAAACTGAACTGGGCCACTGACATGCAACATGTCCTCGAGTCAAAGTGATGAAAAAGTTGTGATGTAAGTATTTTCTGAAGATTATACATTCTTGAATTATTTCTCTGTAGTATTCTGTATACACACGTGTGTTATCTGGCTGAGTTCTTGTGGTATCCCTGCGTTAAATTCACCATACAAATGCGTGGGTTTGGCAGGCAATTTCGGAAGCTGCGACCTATGGCTGCTATTATGGCTACTTCAGTCCTGACTATACTCATGTTGAAGGTTCAGGGACGTGCCACTTCTCACACCGATCAATGCATCACCACTGTAGAAATCAATGGTCTGTCTCACAGTCCCTGAACAACATTATTTTCCCTTCTGCCTAGCCCTCTCTGCAGTGCTAAAGCCCGAAATGAAGCAAGTCTAGTTTCCCTCATATGAATCCCCGAAGCTCCTTTTCAATTCAAATGGGTTTGTTTGTTACTATCAAAATTATATATTCAGAGACTAAGCGTTAGTTTATAGTAATCACATTTGTGTGTTGAAAGTGCTCAAACCTACTTCACCCGGGCAGTAATGACAACCTTGAAAGTATGTCACTTGTGTACTTACTTTATTTCTGTTAATGAACAAGGGTACTCCATATAAACATATTGCCGCAAATGTGCAGATTTACCACTAAAGGTTTTTAGTGGTCAGTAGAGGGGGGATTATGGGGAATTTCCAGCGGAATTGCTCAACAATGACTAAACAACAGATGTGAGAAGCAGTGTACATGTGAAAGGACAGATTTGCTCAATTTTTATGTCATAGAGCAAACCATTGCAATAAGTTTCTTCACAACTTCATATATATTCAAATACCTAACTGTTTCAAACACTCATTGTGCCCCCGCCCCCATTTCCCCTCCTTCCACACACACCCACCCACCCCCAGGTCCCGGTGTTTACAACCAACTTTCGACCATTATTCTCCAACCATAATAGACTTAACACCTGTCATCATCAATTCTACCGCTGACTCCTGTCTTCTGTCCGTGGACCAAAGCTCGCTCGTCCCAGAGCTCCCCAAAGAACGCTCTTGGCAATTTATAAGACGGATATTACCCCGAACCCATATTGACTCATCCAACCATTCGTACAATTAATCAGTTATTTCAGCCATATTTTAGTGTATCAATTTATGTGGGCGCATAACCCTACGTTATCCTAGTTGAACATAATTACAACAGCGGGCCCCGGTATTCTGTAGCCATACCAAGACACATAAGCAGGGCGAAACGGGATTCGAACCCAAAACCATAGGTGCCTGGCAGGTCTTCCATTGTTCCCCAATTTCAAGTATCGCAACCTCGATTTCAGTATGTTTCTGCTTAACATATCTGACAGAAGTGAGTGAGTGATTTTTACGCCGTTTTTTTTTGCAATATTCCAACAATATCACGGCGGGGGGACATTACAAATGGGCTTCACACATTGTACTCATGTGGGGAATCGAACCCGAGTCTTCGGCGTGAAGAGCGAACGCTTTAACCACTAGTCTACCCCACAGACCATTGTCCTCAGAGAGCTCGGACAACCACAGGAGGGTGAAACAAAGGGGAGCACTTCTGATAGTTCAGTAGGTTGTGCTGTAGGTGGGTTGACGGTAGAGTTTTAGTTTGACATTATATGCTATCTCTAATAATCCACACGTATCTTCATCATGAATGTTGTTTTCCAGGAATCCTGACATTGGAGAGCTCGCTGATCTGAGAAACTCAAAAGGACACGGGTTCTTTTGTTTCGAACATGATGGGCTGTACCTTTTTGTGCCGCCCCCTCCCATGCTGAAGGAAGGTCATCCTGTAGACAGAATGAAAAGTATCAGAGAATCCGAACTGAAGGATGATGACATCATTATCTGTGCGTATCCCAAATGTGGTAGGTACTCCACATATTCAACTCACAGACCGCCTCCGTGGTGTAGTGGTTAGAGCGTCCGCCCGGAGAGCGGAAGGTCGCGGGTTCGATCCCCGACCGCGTCATACCACAAGACGTTAAAATATGGTACTTGTTGGTCCCTGCCTGGCGCTCGGCATTAATGGGTACAATAAGGACTGGTCGGCTCGGAGTCAGTATAATGTGTGTGAGTGGGGTATTCATGCTTCACTGCGGCATGGTATCTCAGTTGGCTAGCACTATAAAACCAGCTTCAGTCTGGGTTAGTACAAGCAGCCGCACATCCACATACACACGCATGCACGTCGTCGTATGAGCGAAATATTCTCAAGCACGACGTTAAACCCAATTTCACCTCACCTCACCTCACCCCACAGACTGATTGTTGTTTCACGCCACATTCACCAACATTCTTAGCTATAAGGTGGCAGACTGTCAATAATCGAGTCTGGATCAGACAATCTAGTGATCAACATCATGTACAACGATCTACGCAATTGGGATCTGATGTGTCAACCAAGTCAGCGATCCTGACCAACTGATCCCGTTAGTTGCTTTTCTTCGCAGGTCTGGACATATTCAAACTTTAGTGAGAGAATTGTAATCAACACTGGGTCGCAATTAGGTTATAACAGTTCCGAAAAATAGTACAAATTGTAATGTTGTACCACGTCTCTGTTATATAACGGCGTGTCACAGTGATCTCACAACAAGTCTCTGTTATATAACGGCGTGTCACAGTTATCTCACAACAAGTCTCTGTTTTATAACGGCGTGTCACAGTTATCTCACAACAAGTCTCTGTTTTATAACGGCGTGTCACAGTTATCTCACAAGTCTCTGTTATATAACGGCGTGTCACAGCTATCTCACAACAAGTCTCAGTTATATTACGGCGTGTCACGGTTATCTCACAACAAGTCTCTGTTATATAACGGCGTGTCACAGTTATCACACAACAAGTCTCTGTTATATAACGGCGTGTCACAGTTATCTCACAACAAGTCTCTGTTATATAACGGCGTGTCAGTTATCTCACAACAAGTCTCTGTTTTATAACGGCGTGTCACAGTTATCTCACAACAAGTCTCTGTTATATAACGGCGTGTCACAGTTATCTCACAACAAGTCTCTGTTATATAACGGCGTGTCACAGTAATGTCACAACAAGTCTCTGCTATATGACGGCGTGTCACAGTTATCTCACAACAAGTCTCTGTTATATAACGGCGTGTCACAGTTATCTCACAACAAGTCTCTGTTATATAACGGCGTGTCACAGTTATCTCACAACAAGTCTCTGTTATATAACGGCCTGTCACAGTTATCTCACAACAAGTCTCTGTTATATAACGGCGTGTCACGATTATCTCACAACAAGTCTCTGTTATATAACGGCGTGTCACAGTTATCTCACAACAAGTCTCTGTTATATTACGGCGTGTCACAGTTATCTCACAACAAGCCTCAGTTATATAACGGCGTGTCACAGTTATCTCACAAGTCTCAATTATATAACGGCGTGTCACAGTTATCTCACAACAAGTCTCTGCTATATGACGGCCTGTCACAGTAATGTCACAACAAATCTTTGTTATATAACGGCGTGTCACAGTAATGTCACAACAAGTCTTTGTTATATAACGGCGTGTCACGATTATGTCACAAGTCTCAGTTATATAACGGCCTGTCACAGTAATGTCACAAGTCTCTGTTATATAACGGCGTGTCACAGTAATCTCACAACAAGTCTTTGTTATATAACGGCGTGTCACGTTATGTCACAAGTCTCAGTTATATAACGGCCTGTCACAGTAATGTCACAAGTCTCTGTTATATAACGGCGTGTCACAGTAATCTCACAACAAATCTTTGTTATATAACGGCGTGTCAGTTATCTCACAACAAGTCTCTGTTATATAACGGCGTGTCACAGTTATCTCACAACAAGTCTCTGTTATATAACGGCGTGTCACAGTTATCTCACAACAAGTCTCTGTTATATAACGGCGTGTCACAGTTATCTCACAACAAGTCTCTGTTATATAACGGCGTGTCACAGTTATCTCACAAGTCTCAATTATATAACGGCGTGTCACAGTTATCTCACAACAAGTCTCTGCTATATAACGGCGTGTCACAGTTATCTCACAACAAGTCTCTGTTATATAACGGCGTGTCACAGTTATCTCACAACAAGTCTCTGTTATATAACGGCGTGTCACAGTTATCTCACAACAAGTCTCAGTTATATAACGGCGTGTCACAGTTATCTCACAACAAGTCTCAGTTATATAACGGCGTGTCACAGTTATCTCACAACAAGTCTCTGTTATATAACGGCGTGTCACAGTTATCTCACAAGTCTCTGTTATATAACGGCGTGTCACAGTAATGTCACAAGTCTCTGTTATATAACGGCGTGTCACAGTTATCTCACAAGCCTCAGTTATATAACGGCGTGTCACAGTAATGTCACAAGTCTCAGTTATATAACGGCATGTCACAGTAATGTCACAAGTGTCAGTTATATTACGGCGTGTCACATTAATGTCACAACAAGTCTCTGTTATATAACGGCGTGTCACAGTAATGTCACAACAAGTCTCAGTTATATAACGGCGTGTCACGATTATGTCACAACAAGTCTCAGTTATATTACATCGTGTCACATTTATATCGCAAAGAGTCTCGGTTATATCACTGAATGTCCTCGTGAAAGCCCATAATTTTTCAGTTACATTACAGAATGTGTCAATTATATCACTGCGTCCACATCTGTCTCATTTGATTACAGGTGTCTGAGTTATTCAATGACATGTTGCAGTTATATCACAGAACATATCAGTTATATTATGTGGTGTTATAATTGAACCGTGTCAGTTATATCAAGACGTGTCTGAGCTGTATCACGGTGTCTCACTTCTTTCACGCCGAGTCTGAGCTGTATCATGGGTCTCACTTCTTTCACGCTGAGTCTGAGCTGTATCACGGTGTCTCACTTCTATCACGCCGAGTCTGAGCTGTATCACGGTGTGTGTCTCACTTCTATCACGCCGAGTCTGAGCTGTATCAGACCCGTGAAGATCCGGGGTAGAATAGGTCTTCAGCAACCCATGTGCTTGCCATAAAAAGGCGACTATCTTGTCGTAAGAGGCGACTAACGGGATCGGGTGGTCAGTTTCGCTGACTTGGTTGACACATGTCATCGGTTCCCAATTGCGCAGATCGATGCTCATGCTGTTGATCCCTGGATTGTCTGGTCCAGACTCGATTATTTACAGACCGCCGCCATATAGCTGGAATATTGCTGAGTGCGGCGTAAAACTAGACTCACTCACTCACTCACTGAGCTGTATCACGGTGTCTCACTTCTATCACGCCGAGTCCGAGCTGTATCATGGTGTCTCACTTCTTTCACGCCGAGTCTGAGCTGTATCATGGTGTCTCACTTCTATCACGCCGAGTCTGAGCTGTATCATGGTGTGCGTCTCACTTCTATCACGCCCAGTCTGAGTTGTATCTTGGGTCTCACTTCTATCACGCCGAGTCGGAGCTGTATCATGGTGTGTCTCTCACTTCTATCACGCCGAGTCTGTATCACGGTGTGTGTCTCACTTCTATCACGCCGAGTCTGAGCTGTATCACGGTGTCTCACTTCTATCACGCCGAGTCTGAGCTGTATCATGGTGTAATGTCCTCACTTCTTTGACGCCATGTCTGAGTTGTATCTTGGGTCTCACTTCTATCACGCCCAGTCTGAGCTGTATCATGGTGTGTGTCTCACTTCTATCACGCCGAGTCTGAGCTGTATCACGGTGTGTGTCTCACTTCTATCACGCCGAGTCTGAGTTGTATCATGGTGTCTCACTTCTATCACGCCGAGTCTGAGCTGTATCATGGTGTGCGTCTCACTTCTATCACGCCCAGTCTGAGTTGTATCTTGGGTCTCACTTCTATCACGCCGAGTCTGAGCTGTATCATGGTGTGTGTCTCACTTCTATCACGCCGAGTCTGAGCTGTATCACGGTGTGTGTCTCACTTCTATCACGCCGAGTCGGAGCTGTATCACGGTGTCTCACTTCTATCACGCCGAGTCTGAGCTGTATCATGGTGTGTGTCTCACTTCTTTGACGCCATGTCTGAGTTGTATCTTGGGTCTCACTTCTATCACGCCCAGTCTGAGCTGTATCATGGTGTGTGTCTCACTTCTATCACGCCGGGTCTGAGCTGTATCACGGTGTGTGTCTCACTTCTATCACGCCGAGTCCGAGCTGTATCATGGTGTCTCACTTCTTTCACGCCGAGTCTGAGCTGTATCATGGTGTCTCACTTCTATCACGCCGAGTCTGAGCTGTATCATGGTGTGCGTCTCACTTCTATCACGCCGAGTCTGAGTTGTATCATGGTGTCTCACTTCTATCACGCCGAGTCTGAGCTGTATCATGGTGTGTGTCTCACTTCTGTGACGCCATGTCTGAGTTGTATCTTGGGTCTCACTTCTATCACGCCGAGTCTGAGCTGCATCACGGTGTGTGTCTCACTTCTATCACGCCGAGCCTGAGCTGCATCACGGTGTGTGTCTCACTTCTTTCACGCCGAGTCTGAGCTGCATCACGGTGTCTCACTTCTTTCACGCCGAGTCTGAGCTGCATCACGTTGTCTCACTTCTATCACGCCGAGTCCGTGTGATTAACGCTAGTCATAAATGTTCACCAAGTATTTGTTGCTGTCAAGCAAAGTGAGTGAGTTAGAATTTTACATCGCATCGGCAACATTGCAGCCATATTGCGATGAGAACAATTTTAATAATAGTAAAAGTCTGTCTACAAAGTGCATTTACACAGTATGTTTAGTATCACAGTGTAAGTATAAAACAAACCTAATCTTTATTAAAATAATATTACATTATCTGCCTTGTATTCAGCATGAATTAAAACTAGGTTATAGACCACTAGCGACAACAGTTAGACCACCGTCCTGGGGATCAAGGGGACTTAAGGTTCTTCTACTTCCTACATAAGTCCCAGGAGGATTTATGTCATCACTTTGTTCACCAGTGGCTGTAGCTTACAAGCAGAAGATCAAAAGGCAAATGTCTGATAGAACCACCAATCACAGGATCGTGGGATGGCTAAGGGAGCAGATACTGCAGACCAGTGCAGCATCGCACGCCCACAATGATGTCTCTAGAATGCATCTTTGACGTGTTAAAACTGTAAACTACCTTTCTAGACATGGTATATGTAATAAATATCTTAGTTTGAAACAAAAGTTTCAGTTTGAGGATAGCATTTCGGTTGAACGATTGTGTTACTGTTTTAGGAACCCATTGGTTGTGGGAAGTCCTCGAGATGCTAATCAGTGGGACCATCAAGTATCAAAAGGATGTCAAAGAGACCCGGATGATTGAATTCATCTTCAAAGATGGAATAGAAGCGGTGCCACAGCCACGTGTCTTCAACAGCCACCTCCCCCTGCGCATGCTCCCTAAACAAGTCGTGGAGAAGAAGATCAAGTGTTTCCAGATCATGAGGAATCCTAAAGATGCCTGTGTGTCCTACTTCAACCACCTCAGAGATATGGAAAAACCGTATAATTATGAAGGCGACTTTGTGGAGTTCACAGAGGCGTTTTTGTCAGAGAAATGTAAGTACAGCGTGTGATTGATCATAGTCAGAACCTCAAGTCCATGTGAAAAAGGCGTTCATCTAGCACCGTGGATATACATGGTCACATTGCGGCGAGTTTCGCCGAGTACTCGCTGGTTTCAGCGATATGGATGCAGACAAATGATACAACCATTTACGCTACGAGTGAGTGATTGAGTATAACCCCTAGGCTACCCCACCGCTCCATATACGCTACGAGTGAGTGAGTGAGTATAACCACTAGGCTACCCCACCGCTCCATATACGCTACGAGTGAGTGAGTGAGTATAACCCTAGGCTACCCCACCGCTCCATATACGCTACGAGTGAGTGAGTGAGTATTACCACTAGGCTACCCCACCGCTCCATATACGCTACGAGTGAGTGAGTGAGTATTACCACTAGGCTACCCCACCGCTCCATATACGCTACGAGTGGTGATTGAGTATAACCAATAGGCTACCCCCTACCGCTCCATATACGCTACGAGTGGGTGAGTGAGTATAACCACTAGGCTACCCCACTGCTCCATATACGCTACGAGGCAGTGAGTGAGTGAGTATAACCACTAGGCTACCCCACCGCTCCATATACGCTACGAGTGAGTGATTGAGTATAACCACTAGGCTACCCCACCGCTCCATATACGCTACGAGTGGGTGATTGAGTATAACCACTAGGCTACCCACCGCTCCATATACGCTACGAGTGAGTGATTGAGTATAACCACTAGGCTACCCCACCGCTCCATATACGCTACGAGTGAGTGATTGAGTATAACCACTAGGCTACCCCACTGCTCCATATACGCTACGAGTGAGTGATTGAGTATAACCACTAGGCTACCCCACCGCTCCATATACGCTACGAGTGAGTGATTGAGTATAACCACTAGGCTACCCCACTGCTCCATATACGCTACGAGTGAGTGACTGAGTATAACCACTAGGCTACCCCTCTGCTCCATATACGCTACGAGTGAGTGACTGAGTATAACCAATAGGCTACCCCACCGCTCCATATACGCTACGAGTGAGTGAGTGAGTATAACCAATAGGCTACCCCACTGCTCCATATACTCTACGAGTGAGTGAGTATTACCACTAGGCTACCCCACTGCTCCATATACGCTACGAGTGAGTGAGTGAGTATTACCACTAGGCTACCCCACCGCTCCATATACGCTACGAGTGAGAGATTGAGTATAACCCCTAGGCTACCCCACTGCTCCATATACGCTACGAGTGGTGATTGAGTGTAACCGCTAGGCTACCCCACCGCTCCATATACGCTACGAGTGAGTGATTGAGTATAACCCTAGGCTACCCACTGCTCCATATACGCTACGAGTGAGTGATTGAGTATAACCCTAGGCTACCCACCGCTCCATAAACGCTACGAGTGAGTGATTGAGTATAACCCGTAGGCTACCCCACTGCTCCATATAAGCTACGAGTGAGTGATTGAGTATAACCACTAGGCTACCCCACCGCTCCATATACGCTACGAGTGAGTGATTGAGTATAACCTCTAGGCTACCCCACCGCTCCATATACGCTACGAGTGAGTGATTGAGTATAACCTCTAGGCTACCCCACCGCTCCATATATACGCTACGAGTGATTGATTGAGTATAACCTCTAGGCTACCCCACCGCTCCATATACGCTACGAGTGAGTGATTGAGTGTAACCGCTAGGCTACCCCACCGCTCCATATACGCTACGAGTGAGTGATTGAGTATAACCACTAGGCTACCCCACCGCTCTATAAATGCTACGAGTGATTGATTGAGTATAACCCGTAGGCTACCCCACCGCTCAATATACGCTACGAGTGAGTGATTGAGTATAACCACTAGGCTACCCCACCGCTCTATAAATGCTACGAGTGATTGATTGAGTATAACCCGTAGGCTACCCCACCGCTCCATATACGCTACGAGGAGATCATGCTGCAACATATTAAGTGACATCAAGGACTTTTCACTGCCTCTGTGGTAAAGTGGATACCGTGTCTGCCTTGACAGCAGTGGTCCGGTGGTTCGATCCACATCCGCCTTAAACAAAAATTCTCTTAATTGATGGAACTTAGCATTACGATGAGAGGAAAAAAAACTGGTATACTCTGTATTCGTGGCGTGGTCCAAGTGTAACAGAGTCACGATTCAATCTAAACAGTGCCGATGAAACGTCAAATTAGGCAATGCATCCCATGCTACCGGCAACATACACAGGCCAGTTTCACCCTCCGATGGCCTCGAATTTGTATTCACAATCACGGCGATGTTCTGTCCAGACAGGTAACGGAACAAGAACAGGAAGTGATTGTAAATCCAGCTTCGTCCCTTCTCCAGCTAAAGGATTAAATTTTATGCCACGTTGTTTCAACTTTATCTTCCTAATTTCTAGTGTCATCACTTTTTGTTATAGGTATTGATGAAAAGAGGCTCACGGTACAATCTGATTGTAGTGGAGATTTTGTATGAGCTTTGGGATACATTTTGTCACTTTGTATTACATCAGCACAAGGAAGTATGGATAACCTCGTACTGTCTGATGATCGTTTGTCACTTGCGGTGCACATATCCTTGTTCCACCCAGAATCTGGGTCTACCTTAACACGCCAGTAACAAAGGCTAGCTAGGACTGACACAGGTATGGATTACCACAATCGTATTGTGGATCGATACGAATCGTTAAACGGAATTTGACGTGTTTGAAACTCTAACTTCGACCTTCTTCTGATAAAGTCGGAATGGATTCAGTTATATGCCACTGTTTCAAACTTAATTTGTAGTGCCGTTTGGATCCTATTCCACCTATCTGCATGCATGGACAGAGGAAAAGGCAGCTGTGCAAGATTTACCTGTCCTGAATTTGTTTTATGAGGACATGAAAATTGTGAGTATCTACATCCAGCAACATATATTTGACCAATATATATGTATCAAAAATACCGTTGACCAATATACATGTATTAACAATTGTAAATCATTTTGCACATGCCCCTGCCGTAAAATCACTAGTATTTTGGGATAAAAATTGACAAATAACTCCCTCCACTCAAGTTGTGTGCCTCATGTGATGATTGTTTCAAACAAGCAGTAAAAGTTCTAAAACCATTACTTCAAGAATCCTGTCAAGTCTGTGAAAGATATCGCAAGATTCCTAGGCCTTTCATCCACAGACCAGTTCTGTGAAGAAGTTGCGAATGCATGCTCCTTTAAGAAGATGAAAAAAGTTGATCAGGAAATGAAAACTAAACCTGACATGAAGATATGGGCGGATGGCACGGAAGGAACCTTCTATAGGAAAGGTGAGTGAGCGAGTGAGTTTAGTTTTACGCCGCACTCAGCAATATTCCAGCTATATGGCGGCAGTCTGTAAATAATCGAGTCTGGACCAGACAATCCATCCAGTGATCAACAGCATGAGCATCGATCTGCGCAACTAGGAACCAATGACATGTGTCAACCAAGTCAGCGAGCCTGACCACCCGATCCCGTTAGTCGCCTAAGCTCGGGTTGCCAAGACCAAGTATAACCCGGATGTTCACAAGTCACATATTGCAAGTAGATAGGGAGGGTGGCTAACACCATGTCCCAGACAAGGACTGCTTTACGTCAACATCTGTGCAATGAATACACCATGGAGGACTCGATGCCTTTACTATAGACACATATGAGTGTCATCTACTTTGTGAGATAACAGATATCAAGCTTTAACAATATGTATCCGTACGCGTATTGTATACATAAGATGGGTCTTTTAATTTAAGGACTTATTAAGATGAGGGTGATTGTCAACACTGGAACACTGGAATATTCCTACCGTGCCCACATTATGGGTGTACACTACTTGACAAATCGGACTGTCGACAGGTTAATGACGCAAATAAATAGGAAATGCATTCAGTAAGCGTTTCCGTCTGTACTCGTACCTCGCACGTGAAATTAATAGCATTCTAGCGATCTTTCATGGTAGCAGTGTTCCTGTTGAAACAAATATATGCCCATGATAGGGTCACTATTGTACAATTTCTTATGAATGTAGAAAGTGTTATGTCGCTTCTATTACTATTACCAGGTAGATCAGATATTTAATGGTTATTGTTATGGCATGTTGTTATGTTATAAATATACACAAAGAACGTAATTAAGCACCCCCTGTATTTTTCCAGTGATAGGTTTTCAACACGTAAAAAACACCGATTTTCATACAAAACCATGGTTGTACAAGCATGGCTCTCGAATGTTTAATGTTGAACATTCTAAATGCCATTTGGCGTGTCTTACACGATTCAAGGTCAGTACCGAGAGTAACCTCCATGTGACTGTATGACAGCCTGCACTCTTCTCCTCATACCCCGCCACCCTCCTGAACCTCCGAAGGGGCAGTCTACACCATTCCTCTTGTAAAGCAGCCTCCAAGTGTTTCTCTACAGGAGGATTAGGGTGCTCCAAAGGGTTAGGGTCGGGGCTCCTCCAATCGTGAGAAATGTCAGGGGTGCTTAACTAAGTTCTTTGTGTATACGTGCATATTCAAGACGCATAATGTTACAGGTGGAAGGAACGCACCTTGTATTTGTAGTTCATTACAGTGTTTCTATCACGTGGCTGGTTGACAAACGTATGCCTGTTGCCAGAACGCTTTCCTTGATACTAGTAATTCGTCGTCTGTTTCAGGTGAAATAGGAGACTGGAAAAATTGGTTCACTGTGGCAGAAAACGAGAGATTTGATCAAATATGGAACAAGAAGATGAAGGATTCTGGTTTCGAGTTTACCTATGCGCCTGCATGAGATCGAAGCAAATGCAAGGGTTTCATGTGAACTGATATTTAAAATTTATGATCGCCAAGAACATGTTGTTTTATAATGTTTCATAAAATCATTTTACACGGGCAAGATGATGTCAGACGATGCTTTCTTTATGACTTTACGTAACACATGACTTCATTATGGCCCTTCCTTCCACGTTTAATGCGTTTGTTGCTGATACGTTTTAGCCGTATTAGCGGTTTAGGTTCTTTAGAATGGCATGGCGTTGTGCTGCGACAGGAACTGTAGCTGTGATTAATGACACCAACTGAAGCATGACGTCGTTCGGATCTATCATGAGACAAAAACAGTCACACTAATATAGGTAAAAGTAAGTTCACGAAACCGAATGTGTATACCGCTCACTATTGATAACAATGCAACAATGTCATTTTCAGCCAAAAGCAGAGTGAATATCATTTCTATGTAAAACTATTTTTCTTTGTTGAACTGAAGGGGTCGTTGTCGGCACGCGTACTGCAGATGTGTACTCCAGGTACGATTGTGTATACAGAAACGTACTCTAGCCAAAATCAACGTACAGAAACGTACCCAAGAACGAGTCCATTCTGTTCTATTATATTCAGTTGAGTGGGTTACATGAGAAACGAGCATCCACAGTAACGAATATTTCGCGATGCACAAAACCACTTGCAATTAGTTGAACGGGAACTCCATTGGTTTCGTTTTGGGGTTGCGGAATATGAGGGTAACGGGTACGTTCCTGTATTTTGAGGCGAATGTAGAAACGTACCTGTGGGAAATATCTGTGTACTTGTGCCGACAACTACCCTTTCAGCCTTAGCTGATATTTATTGCAGTTTGACAATCGACTGATTGTACTATGATTCACTCATTAAATAAATATTTGTTCATCAGCTCAGACTTGCAAATCAACAGGGCACCTCTGCTATTTATTTTGAGTTATGTCCCTGCTTGTGTTCCCATTTACTATATATATGTATATAATAGGCGTCATTAATATAGGGTCAAATGATATATAAAGAAAAGTTTCTCAGAAATAATAGAAGTAAGAGATTCATCATGACGTTTAGGGACCCAGGTGCACCTTGTTCTCCTGCTCCTTATCAAGTTCATAAAGAATTCCTCTACTAGAGCTCTGCGGAGTCCTTGGAGATCCACTGGTGATGGGTGACGTGTGTACACACGTCGACCGTGTTCATCCCAGGCATGCTCAATTGGGTTGAGGTCTGGCTCTACACCATGCTGCCTATGGAATTCCGTGACATTCCTGGCCCTATGAGGCCTAGCGTTGTCGTCTTTAAGAAAAGCGGATCGAAGATAAAAGCCATGCAGAAATACTGGAATGGCACTGCTATAGGAGCCAGAATCTCGTGCCGATAACGCTGTCCGGTAGGATTACCGTCGACCACGTGCAGTGGTGTACGTCCAGTAGGAGGTATCCCTGCCGAACCATGATCGACCCCGCCAAATCGGTTATGCGTGGCCATAGCTGCATCTGAGATTCGCTCTCCATTGCAACGAAACATCCTCTGCCGACCATCATGGACGGACAAATTGAATCTGCTTTCATCTGTGAAGAGCATACAAGACCATCGATTCCAGTGGCCATGATGTCTCCTCCATCTCAAACGCTCCTGCCTTTGACGTGGTCTTAGTGATGGACGATTTGTAGGTCGCCTACAGCAGAGTCCAGCTGCGCTTAAACGACGGACGGTGCTCCTGGATATCCTTACATTGTTAACATTGATGTGTTCTGTCTGAAGGTCTGCTGCGTTAAGGAATCTGTTACGTAACGCAATGTTTATCATGTGCCTATCGTCTAAGATTTCTGTGACTCTGGGGCGACCTGATCAACGTGCATATTCCACGGACTTATTGACTTGAAATCTCTGCCACTTTTTACCAATAATACTCTGACTCACAGTAGAGCGGACAGCAACCTGGCGATGAGGTCGACCAGATTCCAAAAGGCAGGTGCATTTCCATACTGACAATTTGAATAGAAAACGTGTCATTTGTAACAGAATGTATCGGACATTAAAGAACGTAATAATGACATTTCAACGGCCTTATGTGTTTTTTCATACTGTTAAGAAAGTTTGTAAAACATTCAGCTGTATACAGTTCAAACAAAAACGAAGATCTTACAACTTTTAAGAAATAGTGTTACCAATAGCTTGCCCTTTCGTGAATGACGCCGAGTATATATACTGGCTGATTCGGAGACGTTACCCAGAAAATGAACTCACTATATCACGCTGACCTATGGAAAACATCAACGTACATGCACTGCGAGAGATTACCACACTATTGTTCGTGACCTAGATTCATACACCTCAGTGTCACGTACACCAGACAGGCTTATTTGTACAGGACCGACCGACTGACACCGTCTCCTTGTATCTCTATCAACCCAGAAATTGAACCTGGTGTGTCCCAGAAATACTTCAAACGATGGGGCAAACTTATAAAGATATGATATAAAAAGACCCGACGTTCAGATCGGCTTGTTAGAACGGTTCTGAAACAACGTGGACAAGTTGTAAACGGAACACAGACGTCTAAACCCCTCCCGCATCTCTCTCGTAGAAGTTATTCGTAAAATTAGTTCATAAGTGATTGGGTATATAAACACAATCGTAGGACATTAATATGGTACAACGTACAACTCATTTGGTGATCACTGTGACATGTCAATACTTTTATTGAACTCAAATTGCCAAATCAAGCGATACCTCCCCGCATTTCCAAAGAGCATATTCCTCTCCTGGCCATGCTATGTTTCATCTTCATCACAATTATAGAGACTACATAAGTCACCCATGCTGAGTTGTACAGAAATAATATGCAATTAAATCAATTGGTGATGTCAGAATAGGATATTTTCATTTGAGCACATGAGAAAGGTCTTTCAACGAAACCCGTAGTCCAGGGATTAATTCTAAGTCCACTACATGTCATTTTCACTTGAAACCCATCAACATGTGGCATTGATGTGATAATCGAAAATCGTCTAAGTATAGCTATTTATGTATGTTTCTAAATTCACACCTTGAATTTTTATCCCTACCCATAATAATGATGAGAAACACAAACAACGGATGGCTTAATAGGCAAATACTGGGAAGTGTTGAAGACTGATCGAAGTGGGTCAAGTGCGAAAAGGTCGTAAAATATACCTGAATAACAGATTCCTAACGAGGGTTGGAAGCAGTTCCTAAATAGGGTTGGGAGCAGTTCCTAAATAGGGTTGGGAGCAGTTCCTAAATAGGGTTGGGAGCAGTTCCTAAATAGGGTTGGGAGCAGTTCCTAAAGAGGGTTGGAGGCAGTTCCTAAAGAGGGTTGGAAGCTGTTCCTAAATAGGGTTGGGAGCAGTTCCTAAATAGGGTTGGGAGCAGTTCCTAAGGAGGGTTGGAGGCAGTTCTTAAAGAGGGTTGGAAGCAGTTCCTAAAGAGGGTTGGACGCTGTTCCTAAATAGGGTTGGGAGCAGTTCCTAAATAGGGTTGGGAGCAGTTCCTACGGAGGGTTGGAGGCAGTTCCTAAAGAGGGTTGGAAGCTGTTCCTAAAGAGGGTTGGAAGCTGTTCCTAAAGAGGGTTGGAAGCTGTTCCTAAAGAGGGTAGGAAGCTGTTCCTAAGGTGGGTCCTCAACACACATCTCAAAATATAGCGCTAATGACAAGAGTACAATATAAACACGGACTATAGATCACCAGAAACTGAATAACAGTAACCGTCCGTTAGCTCTAGTCACGTAGGACCACACTGAAAAGCACAAGTCGTTCTTGGCATATTTACAGGTCTACAGTGTAGAACTTTTGATTTATCAGAGTTTACAGTCATGAAATTGTTCTCACACAAGTTATGTAAACTGTCCGAAAGTACTTTTAGGTCCTCTTCTTCTTCAGCTAACAGGATCAGACCGTCTGCATAAGTTAGCACTGTCAGTGTTTCGTCAATAAACGTCACACCAATATTGAAACTCTTTATGGTAGTTATCAAATCATTGATGTAGACGTTGAATAGCAGAGGGAAGGGAAGGCATCCTTGTTTAAGCCCACACTTGACGTTAAACCATTCAGTCATATTTCCATATATTCTGACACAACTCTTCACACTCTTGTAAAGGGAGATAATAGCTTTATACATCTTTCCAAAGATTCCAAGATCAGACAGTTTTCTCCACAATATAGACCTATCAATATTATCATAAGCCTTTCTAAAATCTATGAATGCTAAAAACGTCGATTTCTTTAAAGATTTCCGAGTTTCAACTATGGACGTGAGTGATGATATATGTTCTACTGTGGACCTGCCCCTCCTGAAACCGTTCTGCTCCTCAGCTATACAGTCCCTGGTTTCTGTATACTTGTACAGTCTTGTATTCAGCACCGAACAGTACAGTTTATAGCTTGAATTTGTCAAGGAGATACCTCTGTATGATAAAGGGTAATATTTATCAGCACATGATGACTTCGGGATAGGTTTGATGATACTCATAGCCCATTCACTTGGTATTTTCCCACTAGCAAAACACATGCTAAAAAGTGTATGTAAAAACTTAATACTGGTATTATTTTTCAAAACCTCAACAGGTATGTTGTCACATCCTGGTGATTTCCCTTTCCTCGCTTCATACACTTCATCCAACGTGAAGGGGTTATCGAGCCGAGATGTATAGTCGTCTGCGTCGGTTACCTCCCTTGGCTCCTGTGCAGAATTGAAAATCACATCAGAGTTACCGTTATTTAACAGATTACTGTAACTGTCTTTCCATGTATTCAACACAGTTTCCTGGTCCCCAGACAAAATACCATCAGGAAGTCTCACCTCAGTTGGGATAATGTGAATTCTGTTAAAACCAACTCCAACTTTTCCTTTTTGATTTTCCTCACAGAGATTTTCCACTTCTGATAAACTCTCTTTGTTGTAGCGTTGTTTACATCGTTTAGTTTCTTTATCAAAAACAGTCCTCTTCTTGACCTACAACTCTCTTTACTTCCGTTTGCGAACGTTATTACATCTGCACCATTCACGTTCAGCTCTACACATTTCATTCCACAACAAAGTTAGTTTCAGTCCACCAAGCTTTCTTCCGCAACTTCTTTCTCTTATTTGGTCCCCAGGTGAATGTCACATTTTTTGTGGCAGCGTTGACTCCATTTCCTGCTTAACTGTAGTTAGGAAGTTAGTATAGGCTGCATCCACATCCGAGTGACGATTCCAACTTGGATATAGTGTCATTAAGAACCTGTACACACAATGTAGACTCTAAAAAGGATTCAGGCACACATGTTACGTCATATCTCACACATGTCTCACTGGGCTGAGTACTGTTACCTATGTCATCAAGGTTCCAACGATATCACTTGTACAATACCACATGGGATTGGTTGAACGGAAACAACTATATTGGTTTCGGGTTTTGGTTTCGGAATTTGGACTCGTCCAGCGATTAGGGTGCCGGGTACGTTTAAGTATTTTGACTTTGTTTATCGTACATTTCTCTATACATATATTTGTACCTGTGCCGACCCTGCAGCCTTACCGGATATTTGTTTCAGATTGACAGTAGATAATCGACTGCATTATGTAAATATTTGTTCATCAGCTCAGATTTGCAAATCAACAGGGCACCTCTGCTATTTATAAAGAGTTATGTCCTTGCTTGTCGTCGGAGACGTGACCTAGAAAAAGAAATCACTATATCACGCTGACCTATGGAAAACGACAGATAAACTACTTTATTTTTAGTCGGTGATTCACACACCTCAGTGTCACGCACACCTTACAGGCTTGTTTGCACAGGGCCGACCTCGAGCGTGTCTCTTTGTGTCTCTCAACCTAGAAAATAAACCTGGAGTGTCCCAGAAATCCTTCAAACCATGGGATAAACTTATCATAAAGACATAGGAAAACCGATGCTCAGATCGGCTCTTGCTCTGATACATATTAGAGCAAGAGCCGATCTGAGCATATATATATATGGTTGTCAACATATTTGATGGATAAAAACCTAAGCTGGTATATTTGCAAAATGTGTTATATATTTACTTGCACAGTGGTTTGCCGAAGACAAATGCTTCAGAACGTTTTCATGACATTGTGTTCTTTTCCAGACTTTGATAAGACTTCACCAAATTTTAGAACAACTTGCATATAGTTTGGACGAAGATCAGTATTATCTTAGCAAATGGATCTATCTGAATAATTGTTGTATGTATGCCTTGTGATGAGTTAAGTTATTTTGCACCAGTATTTATGAAGCATACTTTTAATGTATATTTTGACATGAAATGAAACTCACTGAGCTGCATCTGAACATCTGTCATTTCATGTACAGGTAATACATGCCACTTCACTAGTGTTGTGCCTTTCCTAGATATGTACAATATAACTTAATTTGTGTTATGTCCCATGGGGATACCGTCTCAGATCCAATAGAACAAAGATTATTACTGATTAAGAAGCCATGATTTCGTTAATGGGCAGTGTAATTGACAAACATTTTGAACTTATTGCACCTTTCCACCTAATTCACATTAGCAGTAATGATAATACTTTTGAATAAAGGTTAATATAATAATTTCTTTTGCTGTGGTATCCTATTCCAATGCAAGGTAACTTTTTTGGATAACTGGGACCCTCTGTTAAATGAATTTGGCATCACAAGTTTCCTATATCTGTTAGATGGGCCCTAAACAGGTGCTGACTTAACTCGGATCCTTTCAACGTTATCAGATATTTCAACAAGTCAAATATTCTGGAAGTGGGACCATAGATTTGTATCTAAATTAGGATTCCAAGTGAACCATGGCAAAAAAGAAATTGAAAAAGAACGAATTGTTGAAAAATCGGATTTCCGTATATTCATTGCTTTTTTAGGTAACAATTGTTGTAAGGGTGCTACTATAAGAATAAATCGTCAGTTTGAATTTATAATGAGGTCCATGGTTTTGAGTCTATTTTTAGATGATGAGTCACTGCTCTCTATTTTATATTGAGATCTATTGTGTGAACACCTGGTGTGTCTATTTTTAGACCATCAGTCATTGTCTCAGGTCTATATTTAGATCTATTGTGTGCACACCTGGTGTGTCTATATTTAGAGTATGAGTCATGTTGTACATGGGTTTTCCCGCAACGTATTTTTAGACTCTGGTATATAAGCCCCACCAAACAGCCTCAAGTCATACTCAGTCTCTGAAGTCACTAGTGGATATACATTCAAGTGATTTCACACATTGTGGATATACCAGAGTGCATTTCTCATTGGATTATACTGTGTGCACTGGATTACTAAACAGACTCAGAGTGTACTGTGTACATCAGCCTCTCAACTATACATCAACAGAACATAAAGGTAAGTTACCCTCCACATTTGTGGAAACATACTAACATCAGAATAGGGAATTGAGACAACTTACCTCATGTGATCCATAGGAAATCCCTTACCACAAGCTTCACACATATGTCCATGAACAGATCGATTCACACACATATCCATTGTATCCACACATATTTCCATGAATACATATATGCATTGTTTCCAGCAGCACACCTATGTCCATGAATGGGTATATCCATTATTGAGGCAAACAGTGGTGGTAAATCTAGATGTTTAGAGGGGTTGGAACAAGTAACCCATTCATGTGAAGAAACAGATTGATTCATACTGTACTCCAACAATGAATGACTCATTTGCCCACCCGTAAGTCCGACCTACATCCATTCAAAGCTATGTTTACGGGAAGGGAATCCCCTCTCCCACCCAAGCATGAAGATTAAGAAAACAAGCGTATAATGGAGTGAAAAATAAATAACTTCAAATACATGTTACCGAGTGTCCATGTTAATACTGTTTTTCTTTCTTTTAATTTGCGACAGCCTCCTAGTGAGGTGTGCCATGTTCATTCTGCCATAACATTGCCTCTCCCTACGTTCAATGAACCGAGAAGCATGACGGCCTTCACGCCCATTGAAGAAACCAGGTCATAGATCGCGTCCCCCGCCGCCATTTTGAAACCCAATGACACTATTGAAATTATAAAAAATGAAAATCGTGGAAATCATAGCTTGTGGAGAATATTAGAATCCCTGTAGAATCGCTATGCATACAGAATATTAGAATCCCTGTAGAATGAGCAACATGTGTTATGTCAATCCAACACAATAATATGAATAAACTTCGGTGTGTCATACAAATGTACATGATATACACTATTCATGCGAAAATTATGCTCTAAACTAATACTTTTACAGTCGTTCTGTGTACTATGTTCAACGTTCGCATGCAAAACGATAACAACAACATGCTTAACTCCCCCAATATCTGGATGAAAGTATGTCACTATTGCGTGTCAGGCTGCCATATTGAATGTTAAGGCTTGCACAAATAAAATGTTAGTATTTTTAACATGAATTCGAGCTCCGTACATTGGGAATGTAACACAAACTACCTGGACAATCCGACACCAAAAAAACATGTCTTAAGACAAACATTTTTTTCTCCTGATTGAAATACACAATGACTACAGAAATACAAAATACATAGAATAAACACAACCTTAGCATGTATTACAAAATGTACATGATATACACTATTCATACGAAAATCAACTAATACTTTTGCAATCGTTCAGTGTGCTATGTAACACCCGTAACGTCGTTAAAGGCATCCAGACCATGAAAACAACGTGCTTGAAATACTGTTAGACACTGCATAGATCGACTTACCAGTCCAGAGTTAAAAAATCCACAATACATCCATCACATATGTGTATATACGTGTCTCAGCCTAAAAACCGGTTCTGTGTCAAACCGGTTCGCAAACGACACTTTCAAAACGGCCACATAACCAAACCGGCTACATATCCCAAACGGCTTTGTAGACCAAAAATGGCTTTACAACACTAGTGACCATTTGTAATAGCTTGTGTATTTATAAACCGTTTATATATATGTATAGCTATATATAAATGGTCACTAGTGTTATAAATATATATTTATCTACAAACGCCGTTTATATATACATTTGCTTATTACAAATGGTCACTAATGAAACGAATTCTAATGATCTGTAATGAATATATATTATATATATATATATATATATATATATATATATATAATGATATATATATATATATATATTACAGATCATTAAAATATTGTTGTATTCAATACAGATCATTAACAGTTGTTATATTCAATACAATGAACTGAAACAGTTGTTATCTTCAATACAATGAACAGGAATGACGTTTAAACTGAAACTTGTATGTCTGATAATAGTATGAGGAGGTTAAACATTTCTGTGGATTCAGTGAAATAGGGTTGAAATTGGTATTATAAAAACCAAGAATTGTACAACAGTTGTCTTATGTCAATCCTACAGCAATTCATTCAGTGAGTTTAGTACACTCTCAGCAGCTCTATGGCGGTGGTCTGTACATAATTGCCCAGAAAATCCAGTGATCAACAGCATGAGCGTCATTCTACACAATGTGCCATGTGTCAACCAGCGAGCCTGACCACCCGATTCCGTTAGTCGCCTCTTATGACAAGCATGGGTTACTGAAGGGTAACCCAGACCTTCAGAGGTACAATACATTTAGAAACAAGACAGATATACAGATTTCATTGTTTATTAGCTCCGTTTCAAATGAGTAGACATTAGGATAGGAGCTCTCCCAAATGCCTACTTTACATCTGTTGTCTTATTACCCTTCATCTTTACTCTCTTCATCAGATGTCATGTCTTCATCTTCAGTCATGCCTTCGACCCAAGACTTATATTGGTACAATTTTGAAATCACTTCATGATACATATTATTTGTGTCTTTTACTTGTTTCAGTATTCCTTGTGTCTTTGGACCATACTGCATATGGTACAGATAAGTAATAGATTGGGCATACGTCTCTTTAAACGTGCTCCACATCAATTTGTTCAGTTTGGCTTGAATCATGTCTTCATTTAAACCTCTTTTTATGTACAGCTGTCATTTCTCATCCAAAAAGTCTTTATTCAGCTCACGCGTATGTGAATACATTTGTCTTATACCTTGCTCTTCAAGATCAGCCATCTTATTTTTCCTGTTGTGTGTGACATCGCTTAATGATTCAACATCATCGTCCTCATTTTCCATTTCAGGACATTGTTTATCATGTAAATGTCTTTGTAAGTTATGGTTAGTGCTAAACACTTGACCACAATAGTCACAGTCCACCAGAGGACGTGGTCTCTTCACAGGTGAGAAGTTGTTGTCTTCCTCCCACTGCCTTTTCACTTGGGGTATCCCAGGAGGACCCACTGAAGACTTTTCGGGACACCAGTTTCTTCTGTGTTTTTGCAAATCTTGCACATCTTGAAATATGAGTCCACAGTCATCACAAGATGGCATGGTTGTGAGGTTTGCTTCACACGTCTGCTCACGCTTAACATCTAACTCGGACTGAATTGTCCTGGCTTGGAGGTGTCCTTTTAAACTGAATGCATTGGGACAAACTCGCATATGGGGAGGTGTTTGGGTTTTAGGAATGAAGTCCATTCAGTCTTGATTGCACAGCAATCGGCAACGACAGTCTTGTCGAATGGGTAATGTCCACACACATCCATGATATCCCAGACCAATGGTAACACGTCTGCACAGTACAGTGTCTAAACCAAGAATGGCTTTACACCCAGTAACTGTAGTCACTAGGGTTGCAGAAGGAACACTGGAGGTACCCCATCTGATTCTGATGATCCTCTTGTGCCATACAGGGGACCATGCCCTTCAGTTTGGGCACAAAATCAGGCATCACTTCCACACAGAATCCTAGTTTCTTCCACTGGTCCAGGGACAGCAGGATACCCTTGGCACAAGGAACCATAGATTGCATAGAGTTATCCCAACAACACTGTCGAATCTCTATACCTGTGTTATCCATGACAACAAACACATTAGCTCCCAAATGCCACTGGGGGCTAGGTTTCCCTTCCTTGACAGCCTCCTCAATGAATCGAATAGCTCCTGGGAGATCCACCCAGTGTTTCAAACTCAACACAATCCCCTGTTTGGTTGAGTAGGTCTTGCCACTCGGGTACACTTCATACTTCCTCACATGAATGTTCAATACGCCATCCCATGTCGTGGCTGTCACATAGACGTTGTCCCCCAGATGTAAATGGCATCTGGGATCCTGTCGTTCTGTCATCTGCTTGTCAGTCTCAAGACCCAGCAATGTCATCGCTTGTATCTCTCCACATTCCTGCAATGCTTTGCAGAAGAGGGTGTAAGCTTGAGGGCCCCGTCTAGGAAGCATATCTAACAATTCTCAGACCCGATCAAAAGACGTCCATGGTTTCTCAATAATCTCAGCTTTCATGAAACAAGTAAGCACACCAAACTGCATCAGTTTGTTGACCACATCTTCTACACGTTGTATACTTGTCACGAGATTGGAGCGGTTCTTCCTGAGGATCTCGCGGTGAATGGTTTCCATTTTCAAGGCCAATAGAACCAGTAGAGTCAAGAGCATAAGATCCGTACGATGTCTCTGGCGACTGAAGTCAGAATGATATGGAGGACTGTTCGGGGGACTTTATATTACCCACCCGAGTCTAAAAATAGAAACACCAGATGTTGATATGAGTCATGGTCTAAATATAGACCTGATGCAATGACTCATCATCAAAAAATAGACACACCAGGTGTTCACACAATAGATCTCAATATACAATAGAGAGCAGTGACTCATCATCTAAAAATAGACTCAAAACCATGGACCTCATTATAAATTCAAAATGGACGATTTATTCTTATAGTAGCACCCTTACAACACACAATAACCCTATGAATTCATATTATGGGTTTAACTTCACTTGAACAATGGATAAACAAACAAAGGTAATGCTGTGACCGCTCACGTTCTACTTTTAGAAAACACGATCTGCATCTTGCACATGTGCTTGTGTTTACAGTGGGATTTTACAAACTTCGTATTTCGATGTCATTTACAAATGACGGATACCAAAGTACCACAAGCCGCAGAATTCATCACCAATGCAATCAAGTTTTGAGCACCGTTGATGTTCACGTTTTTGTGCATTTGTCTCAGATCGCTATCGCAATGTATTTTTTTGGTTCAAATTTCAATTAAATTTGTGTTTAATCAGACTATAAAATGTTACAGGTACCATTTTAATAGACGATATTAATTTTCAAAGCATATGTACTGCTTCCACTGTTTCAGTGTAGGCTGTGGCTTTCAGTGCAATTAAAGAAAAAATACCTGACATACTATTTTTTTATTTATTATCTCATGTTACTGGGAGGTATGGCAAAGGCAAAATGTTGACTTTCATACAAATTTTGTGAATAATGTTACTCAAAGGCTTAAAGATATATATACACAAGAATGGGTAGGAGCACTGTCATTGTCAAGTAAATGTTTCTATTATAGAATGTTTAAATCCCATATATACAGAGAGAATTATCTGCTGTCACTAAATATCAAGAAATTTCGAAAGGCTTTTGCTCGGTTTAGGGGTTCCTCACATGACTTGGCTATCGAAACAGGGAGATATCATAAAATAGAGAGGGAAAATAGAATTTGTACATTTTGTGATCTTAATTGTGTAGAAGATGAATATCACTTCCTCTTAATTTGCCCATTATATTGTGAGTTAAGAAAAAAAAATGTCCCAAGATATTATTCTGTATATCCCGATAGGGTGAAATTTTCTTTGTTAATGAGTACTGATGACAATGTTCTTATCCATAAGTTATCAACCTTTATCTATCAAGCATTGTCTCTAAGAAATAAACATAATAATCCATAGAATGTATGTACTCATATTGTTATTTGTTACGAAATGGTATGATGTGGTGCGATGTGATATGATATGATATGATACATGGTATGATATGACATGATGTAATTTGGGGTGCTTTGATATGATGTGATACGACAAAGTATGTGTAATGCGATGTTATATGATGTGATACATTTTGATGAGATATGACATATTGTGATTTGACTATTTTTATTCTTTTCTATGATATTGTGTACTATGTTCTTGTATACTATGGGCCCGTGACCTTCAGTATGAATAAAGATTGATTGATTGATTGATGTTACTGTGATGTTAAGATAAAATAAATACAAAGTCCATGCTTCATTGTCAAGTGACATGATTATCTCGCTGTGGCAGACCACTGATACACTGGATGACATACTCCTTTTTCAGCTGTTCAAAATGTCATCGACTCAAAGTGATGAACAAACTGTGATGTAAGTATTTTCTGAAGATTGTATATTTCTGAATTATTTATTAGTAGTAATCTTTAGTCAGACATGTGTTTCATGGCTTAGTATTTGTCTAATCCCCTGCTTTAAGTTCCCCTTATACAGGCTTCGCTTGCCATTTGAGAAGCGTTCTTTGGACCTATTTTAGCGTCAACTCTGGCTGCTATTACAGGCCACTTCAGTACTGACTAAAGTAATGTTGCATAACCCTAAGTGAGCGATCCCTTGTTATATTGTATTTGTCAATTGATCGTTTACTATAACATTTTATTTGCCCTCAAACTAGTTTTTAGAAAACTGTGATACGGGATTTTATACTATTGATATACATTTGTCATATACGTATATTATTCTCTCGTCACAACATGACTGAAATACTGCTGATTTGACGAGAAATATAAACTCACTCACACACTCGCTTATTCAGTGACTTTGAAATATAATTGAATTAATTGACAATTGGCATATTTTTATACTTGCAATTAAAAATGTTATGATATGGATATGTTAGTCTATGTCTCTCTAGGTACTTATGTATCTACCTGTTATTAATCTGAGTATATTTTTTGTTTTAAGTGATGGCTGTACCAGTAACTTTAAGCTTAGCATATTTGTGGTTTTATATGATGGCTAAATTTGACTACAATCGCCAGCGGCTGGAAGGATGGTGTAAATCCAGCTAAGGTCCATGCAGGAATCAAAAGTACTGTAAGTTCCCATGGTCCCTAGTATGGTGATCTACCTTCAGTTGTTGGCGATCAGTAACAGCCCAGTTTTGTATTGTATGGTACAAAATAGTGTTCTACTTTTAATGATATATGCTAGCTAGTTTTGACTCTTTCTGTGATAGTCTCGTTGTTTTTACTGTCCTTTGCTGACAGATTATGAAACTTTATTTCTTATCAATGTATAACTTGATTTAGTTACTATATGGCTGGAATAATACCCATGCGACTAAAAATCTTAACTCACGCACTCATAACCCTACGTGATGCAAGTTTGAGATGAACACCAACTGTGTACAAACAGAGGAGCCGGTATTCTGCAGAAATATCCATTCTCTTACAGACCCTATCGCAATGTAATACATACGAACTACAAAATGCATTGGAACTGGCTGCACGTACACGACATAGCAGTACGCGGCCTCTTTTTATCATCAACAAAACTCCCATCCCATTCTCGTGTGAACACATACACACACCACGATGTGGCAATGCTGAGGGTACAAAGATAGTCTACAGACCAAGGAAAGGGGAAACGTTTAACATGTTCTGCAGGCTACCCTTGATGTAGCTATCTTTGGCGTTCCTACTTCTCCATCTACCATGTCTTTTAAACATGGGATCCTTAACACCGCTGTTAGCTGCAGCAGAAGCATCCAGGCAGGATGCTGTGTAAGCTATGCAGGCACAAATTGTCTAAAAGAATCCATGAACAATTGTCTTAGGCGAGAATAAGACACAGGGACATCGTCTGAAAGAGTTTAGACACATGTTTAAATGTCGTGTGAATGAAAACAGTAAATTTGACAAAATTAACACACTGATGCATGATTATTTTTCGACTGCCCGCTGTAAAAAACATGCCCATTTCTGGCCCTATTGTAAAAGAGAAAGGTATTCAGTTTGCTTCAGAATTAAATGTCAACATGTTTAAGGCATCAGATGGTTGGCTGGCACGCTGGATGGCACGATACGACATCAAACAGTTCAAAGTGAGCGGCGAATATGATGACTATCAACACGTTGCTCAGTTGTATTTTACGGCAAAGGGAAGATCATTCTCAGGTTGAAAAGGAAAAAGTGCCCCTCTATACCGGCATGTTATGTTGGTCCCAACGAATGCCGGTTTAGAGGGCTTCCACTGTATATTCATTTGAATCTGGATGTATTTTAGCCAATTCTAGATATGCTCCAAATAAGCCACAGGACACAGAATATACCAATAACGAACCATAAACATCGATCTTTGATTGTTCAATGAAAAGCATCATATGCGTATCATATAATACAATATTAGATCTTGCAATGTGAAGAAGTTCCATTGATTTAGAAACAAACAGCATGGGCAAGTAAGCGCATTGAAACGATTCTTAGTTGTATCAAACTGTTGGACTCGGCAGACCAACACACACATGAGCATGACGAATGCTTTAAAATGATATTTGAACCAACTCAAACGATTCAAATTACAATGGTAATTTCTCAGACATACAACATGAATGTGTCTACCGATTCGATGCTGCGAGACCATAAGTTGTGCACAAAAACTCTGGCAAAACAGCAGCTAAATCACGAAAACCACTTGGCAAAACCTTGATCTCATCTCTGTAGGTACAGGCAAACACATTTGTAAACAGAACATAAAAGATAAGAATCTTCTGAAATCAACACGCAAAGCCAACATATTAAAATGCAAATTATGTTCACCGAATAATCCTCCTTTCACTCTAGAAATTACATAAGACTTTTTGGCTCTAGGAAGATATTTGTAGCCAATTCAGGCTCTAGGTAAGTTCATCCACTCAGAAACCTGTGGAATAAACAAAGAATTTGCTGATAACACTGGCCAGAAATATGACGAGTGCCATTTTGGAACGTCCAAGGTGCCCATGGCACCACATTCAAACATATGCCAAATGGTTCTTTGAATTAGACAAACAGGAGGGACGACCTAATTAACAACCCTGTTCCAGTTGATAGTCAAACTATCAGCAACGTCGCATCCTGGATTTGCAATGGCTGGAATTCAGACATTGGGATTGGGTATCTGGGTTAACGTCAGTGTGATCGGGGTTTCCATTTGGCATGTATTTGCTAAAAAATGTTTTAGCATAGCCCAGTAGTCATAGTCCACGACTTTGCTGTCAGTTCTCTGATTCTCTGATCTGGGAATCCATTGCGTGCTTAGCCTAACATTACGAAATGAATACAACTAGAAATACTGAAAAGTGACTGACTTGATATTCCGGAATCACAAGGTCAGAATCTGCTTTTGCAATCTTTTTATCATCATCATCATCATCATTACAATCGTCTGCTACTTCGTTAGATAAGTAATTACAACCCTTTCAGGTGAATCAGCTATCTTTATCAATTTATATCCTCTTTCCAACCTCTCTATCTCCTCTTCCATCAACTTTTCTCCTTCTGCAAAATCATGGCTTTGAATAGCATATCTCGCCTTCCCTTGACCAAGAATTCCGAATCGAATTTCAATCTTTTAAAAGGTTCTTGTCAATCTGAAGAAATCCATCTCTCAAAAGAGAAATCTTGTTATTTACTGACAGTTCAATCTCTTCACGGTTGGAATGAAGAGTGTTTTCTCCAAAATGACATCGAGCTTTTACGCGGTTGTAGAAAATCTGGTCCATAGTCAGTATTCACGAGCACTGCCGTGTAAACTAACGAGAGAGGCGAGGTTTAATGACCCAACAGGGCCCTGCAAAGAGCAGTATAGTTACCCCCAAGCTAATTGCTTACCACTAGGAAAAAGTAGTTTCCCTGTAATTCATACTTCAACCAAAAGAAACATCATGAAACATACGCATTGCATTCACTGTTTACATTGCTTTCGATGTTTCATTTTTTCTGCGTAACAGATCTCACTCTGCTCCTGTGCCCAGAAACCCGGGGCAGCCACATGTTGGTGTGACAAATTAACGGGAACGACCTTCCAGTAACACTGTAGGTGGTACTGTAGGTGGATTTTAGTTTGACACGAATATGGATATCACTTAGCATACATATCTTGATCATGAATGTTGCTTCCAGGAATCCCAACATTGGAGAGGTGCTCGATCTGAGGAACGCGAAAGGACATGGATTCTATTGTTACGAATATGATGGACTGTATTTGTTTGTGCCGCCCCCTTCCGTACTGAAGGGAGGTCATCATGTAGACAAACTCAGAAGTATCAGCGAAGCCGAACTGAAGGACGATGACATCATGATCTGTGCGTATCCCAAATGTGGTAGGTACATATACAATTGACTGACTGTCTGACTGATTTTTGTTTAACGCCGCACACAGCAATATTCCAGGACTATGGCGGCGGTCTGTAAATAATTGAGACTGGACCAGACGATCCAGTGATCAACATGCATGAGCATCTACGCAATTAGGACATGATGACATGTGTCAACCAAATCAGCGACCCGGATCACCTGATCCGGTTAGTCGCTTTTAACGACAATTCGTTTAACCATTCTTACCCGAATTATATTCAATGCTGCTGTCATAGTTATTCCAGCTACGTCACTGCGACACCAGGAGAGGGTCTAATCCAGACAAACCTCTGACAGAATGAGTACTGAAACTCTGCCACGTCATAGGGTTCGATGATCTCCCCTTTCCTATTTCAGATGGGTCTTGTAGCATTAATGAAAGACTGAGGACTTCTTCTACCCTCACACAGTGAGGATGAAGATGAATCACAGTGACTTCTTTTAAGACATACCTGAAGGCAGTTTTGTTCAATTGTGATTTGAATGGCATCTTGGTCGTGTCAACGCATGCCTCATGCTATTATAATATGTCTCAGTTACATTATGGCGTGTCGCAGTTTCTCACAACTTGCGGAATGTGTCGACCCTCACTTCACCTAAACGGGTGGTAGAATGGGCCCAAATCTATCGTTCGGCAAGTCATGCCAAGCCCTGTGCATTAATTGTACTTATATATGATTTGGAATTGTTCATTTAACTCAGCTTGCATTTGTAGCATGCTGTTATGAAATTTGCCTGGATGCCCAGAAGGCGGTGGCTCAGGGGCCAATCTGGTGGACTGATCAATTTTCAATTTGCCTTCCACTGGCATATAACATTGTCCTTGTGATACACCATAGTGGGTGGGGATCTGAGATGGTGAACTTTCTGTTATATTAATGGTACAACAAACAGATCTTCGGATGCCTGGAACGGAACTTTGGTGGCATCTTCAACTGATGGTGAACTGCTAAAATTAATCCATTTGCCACATCAAAAGCTATTTATGGCATTGTTATTTACGATCTGACTGTCCGCTCATTAAGTGTAAAACAGTGAATCAACCAGCCACCTTATTAGCCACACAAGACTCTCAATACTAGTGAAGGTGTCCTGAGAGACAGAGACCGTTGCCCTGCTGATATGAGGGGAACCCAAATAGTAGCAGAATCTGCAACTTGGACATGTGCTTGTGTTTAGGGTTTATATGATAATACGATGGGAATTTTACAATAACAACAACCAACAAAATTCAGTTACTCCTCTATTTTGCACCAGAGTACCAGAGTATCACAAAATTCACCACTGGCTCAACCAAATTTCGCCGGCAGTGACGCCATAGCGATTGGCCATTTAGTTGGCCTCCCGACATATAAAAAGAGCTTGTGGGCGGGGTTTAACGACAGGGACTGGGTTGGCCTATTGTATTGCAATTTGAGAATACCATTTCAGGTGAAAAACTGCATTACTGTTTTAGGAACCCATTGGTTGTGGGAAGTCACCAAGATGCTTATCAGTGGGACCATCAAGTATGAAAAGGGTGTGAAAGAGTCCAGGATGTTGGAATGGACCTTCAAGGATGGAATAGAAGCAGTGCCACCTCCACGTGTCTTCAACACCCATCTCCCTCTGCGCATGCTCCCTAAACAGGTCGTGGAGAAGAAGATCAAGTGTATCCAGATCATGCGGAATCCTAAAGATGTTTGTGTGTCCTACTTCAACCACCTCAGAGACAGGGCAAAACCGTGGGGTTATGACGGGGACTTCTCCGAGTTTACAGAGACATTTCTCGCAGGGAAATGTAAGTACAACGAGTGGTTGATCAAAGTAAGAATATCTCGTTCATGTGGAAAAGGTGTTTATCTTTCACCGTGACCAGACTAGGTCAGATTGTGGAGTACTCGCCTGTTCCAGCGATACGGACACAAACAAGTTCATTTTAATCAGTGCCGATGACACGTCAAATCAGGCAATGAATCCACTGGTGTTGTCAACATACACGGGCTGGTTTCAGCCTGGAATGGGGTCGAAGTTGTACTCACAAATACGTCAGTGTCCTATCCATGCAGGGACGGGAACTGGAAATGAGTTGTATATCCAACTTCGACCCTTCTCCAGCTAACCTGCAAATGGATTCAGTTTTAGATCACATTGTTTGACTTTGATCTTCCTTATTTTAGCTGTCATGACTTCTCCATAATAACAACAGGTTCACCACACATTAGGATTCGAGTTGAGTGACGATTTGGAGTTATTTGTAGTGGCAATACACATGGCCTGGTTCCAGCCTGAGACTGGGTCTAACTTATATTTACAAACACGTCAATGTCCTGTCCACAAAGGGTCACGATCCATGTCCATTTAAATGATTTAATTCAAACAAAGCCACGACGTTACAAAAGAACACCAGATACTTTGGTACTGGTTCCTAGCACATGATCTTGTTGCAGCCTGAAACTTGGTCTAACTTATATTTACAAACACGTCAATGTCCTAATCCCAGCACTAGAACTGGCACAAGTCTGTATTACGACAACCGTTTTGGGGTTGATGCTACTCATGGACAGGAACTTGACGTGTTGGAGAATCAAACTTTTCTAGATAAAGTGTAAGGTGATTCAGCTGTAAGCCATTGATTCAACTTCATCCTACGCTCCGTTATTTGTAGTGCCGGATGGATCCTATCCCAACTATCTGCGTGCATGGAAAGTTGAATTGGCAGCTGCACCAGATTTACCAGTCTTGCATTTGTTTTATGAGGAGATGCTCCTTGTAAGTATTGACATCCAACAACAAATATTCGTTTTTCTTTCCAAACTTGCATAAACCTCGTTGTTGACCAAACATGGAAGTTTCATATACATGAAGTAAACCATGTACATTATTGTATAACTGCCTCTCTAATATAATATTAAAACTAGTTTTTTGAGTTTACAGAGATTTACAAATCACACAATCTATGCTTAATGATATACATGCAATGGTACAAACAGACAAGAACTGTGACCATTTTTTGAAACAAGCAGCAAAGATTCTAACACCACTACTTTCAGAACCCTCTCAGGACTGTGAAAGACATCGCGAGATTCCTAGGCCTTTCATCTACAGACCAGTTCTGTGAAGACGTTGCGGATGCATGTTCCTTTAAGAAGATGAAAAAAGTTGATCAGGAAATGAAAACTAAATTAGACATGAAGATCTGGGCAGATGGCTCGGAAGGAACTTTCTATAGAAAAGGTACAAGAAGTTATCACTTTAGTCTTGGAAATGCATAGGTGATTAGAAATAAATATATATAAAATAATACCCTTCGTAATAGTACCCTTTTGGCGTACCCTTCACATACACACATCATGGGTTTATGCTACTTGACATGTCTGACTGTCGACATATCTAATGGTACAAGGAGCTACATACAGTAAATGTTGCCATCTGTACTTGTACCAACGCATGTAAATCAGAAGTTTCCGTATTATGATATAAATACACGCTTCTTCAAGATACATAGTGTTCCAGATGTAACTAACGCACCTTGTATTTGTTGTTCATTACTATGTTTCCATCATATGGCTCTTTGACAAATGGGTGCCTGTTGCCAGTACGCTTCCCTTGATAATTCGTTTTCTGTTTCAGGTGAAATCGGAGACTGGAAGAATTGGTTCACTGTGGCAGAAAATGAGAGATTTGATCAAATATGGAATGCCAAGATGAAGGATTCTGGTTTCGAGTTTACCTATGCGCCTGCATGAGATCGAAGCAAATGCAATGGCTTCATGCAAACTGATATTTCAAAATTATGATCGCTAAGAACATGGTGCTTTATAATGTTTCATAAAATCATTTTACATGGGCAAGATGATGTCAGACGATGCTTTCTTTATGAATTTACGTAACACATGACAGACTTCATTATGGCCCTTCCTTCCACGTTTAATGAATTTGTTGCTAATAAGTTTTAGCGTATTAGCGGTATAGGTTCTTCAGAATGTCATGGCGTTGTGCTTCGACGGTAATGGTAGTTGTGATTAATGACACCAACTGAATGACGTCGTTCGGATCTATCATGAGACAAAAACATACACACTAATGGAGGTAAAAGTAAGTTCACGAAACCACTCACTACTGATATATTGAGAATACAACAAAACAATTATCATATTCAAAAGATTTCTGCCCAAAGCAGATTGAATAACATTTCTGTGTTCTTATTTGAGCTGAAGATGTCGTTGTCGGCACGGATCCTATAGATCGGTATCCCAGGTCCGTTTACCTTACCCAAGCCAAAATCTGAATACATCACATCTACCCTGGGACAAACTGAATCGCACTGATGTAGGTAGAAGTAAATTGGACACACCAATGTGTATACTACTCACTATTGATAAAAAAGCAACACAACCCTTCCTATATTTGACAGATTTTCTGACAAAAGCAGACTGAATACCTCTAAGGTCCTAAATGACCTCGACATGTTCTCCCATGGTTCACTCATTTAGCGATTATTTCTTCGTGAGCTGAGATTTGTAAATCGGTAGTGCTCTTCTGCTTTTTATGAGGAACTGTGTGATTGCTTGGCATGATGCGTTTTCCATTCAGAACTGGCTAATTCGAAGACATGGTCTGGAAAATAAAATCACTATATTAGGCTGACCCTATGGAAAACATACACTAAGGCAGATAGACTACCACACTATTGTTCATGACCGAAACTCACACACCCCAGTGTCACGTACATCAGCCAGGCTTGTTTGTACAGGACCAATCAGCCCTCCCACCAACAAACATCCCCAAGCCATATAATCCAGTTTGACAAGAATGAGGATTGAACAAAAAGAAAAATGTTTAGAAGCCATCGAAATCCGCTGCCACAAGCATACCATCGGCCTACGAAGAGATAGTCAAGCTATAGACTGTTTCTGTTCGCAAACTATGAGTCTGTATTTTACTGGTTTACCACCAAATCGTTCCTGCTCAATGGCTGCATGGCCCGTGCTGTTTGTCGTTCTCACTTCCCACCTGGCCTCTTCCTAGCATGTACCACTTGTTATTCAATTATATGCTGTTGTTAATGCCAGTTTGATGGTCACAACGCACTTTGTATATTTACTTCTCATCACTTGATTGTAGCCACTGTTAGCTTGATAATGAAGAATAAATCGACAGTGAAACGTCGCTCTGTGCAATAAACAAGAAGTTGTTATCCATAAAGGCGTATGATTCGTTATTGTCTCGAGAAGAGAAAATAAATATGTGAGTGAGTGAGTGAGTATGGTTTTACGCCGCTTTTAGCGATATTCCAACTATATCACGGCGGGGGGACACCATGTGGGGAACCGAACCCGGGTCTTCGGCGTGCCGAGTGAACGCTTTACATCTATTCTCACGAAACATGTACCAATTAACTGACTTCATGTCTCACCCAGTTTTAGTCACTAAATTAAACAATGTCAAGTGAAAATCAGATTTCTGTGGTTGACTACACCGGGTTTGACTTCCTTCCTTGAATTGTCTCATTTGAAGCCATTTTCCAAATGAGTGTATAGTTTATCATTCTCTTCCCACAGAGGTTACTTGTCATATCTTCCTACGAACCTCTGTTCTAATACGGCCATATTTCCCGGTTCTCGTAAAATCCCCTAGCGGCAAAAGATCGCAACACGAATTATCTCCCTTCTTTCTATCCAATCAGAACACGTGTTACATCGACTTAGATTCAATTTGACTAACACAAGCAAATGCGGGGCCACAAATATCCCCCATCTGCCGGGGAATTGTGTTGATGTTACACACAAGACGTTTAATGGCTAGCTTGTCCGTTGTCAACGAGGGCGATGGAGACGCCACTGATCCGCCATAACATGACTGAGTTCTGTCTAGAAGAAACGTTTGCGCATCGCACAGGGGAAGAAATTTAGTTTTTCTCGAAGCATACAGAAATTACCGAGGCCTTGCGAATGATCACTTTTGAAACAACGTCGCTGATTGCACAACTAAATCTGATTGCCTCCAATCACGAGTCTTGAACGCTCACACCATGAAAGGGCCGTATTAGAACAGAGGTTACGTAGGAAGATATGACAGGAGTAACCTCTGTGGGAAGAGAATGAAAGTTTATATGAAATATAAAAAATATAACAAGTTGGAATAGTTCAGTCTCTTTTAATAACTGACAATAAACCTGAAGCCCAGATCAAGTAAACAGTTACAACATAAACTCAATGGAGCTGCAAGTCTGCACCCAAACATCCTGTATTTTCCGCTGCACATTTATCAACGGAAGTCAATTACTAAACTGTGGATAGTTTTTGTGTTTCTACCATCGGTTAATTGCTATCGGAGATTCAACAATTGCAATCCATTGTTAGTTCGATGCATCTTTAAAGGAACTACTTATGTGTGAGGAAATCCTGAACAATTGAGCGAAACAATTGAGGACGTCATCGAATTTGAATAACGGGTTATATTGTGATCATGTGGTTGTGGACACTAATTGCCAATTTTATGTCCGATCCCTCAATCACTGATACAAGCACGTCTGTATAATAACTTACAGGCTCATTACAATAATATCTCAGACACACTCGAGATTTCAATTTTTGTTGGACATTCGGATCCACGATGACGTATATGTGTACATGTGAGGACACAAACAATTAGGTTGACATTCATTGTACAGTCATAACAAGCCTTTGGCGACGAGGGTTGTAAATTTCGTTTGTGGTCCCTTTGGTATGATGAATAAAAGCAAACAAAACCATTTCCATAAGCATTATCATAACGGTTCACTGTTAAAATAGTGACGGTACCAGGTGTTCGCAGAAACGTGATTTTGTCATGCATCATCGGTCGCACAAACATGCAAAGGCAAGGTAATTGTTAACAGCAGCAATGGGAAACTAGGTCTGCCAGCATCAAAAGCAACATTATAAAACTGATATTCTGCTAAAAACCATGCATAAGCAGAACACGAAGCCAAATGGAAGGACTCCCAACAGCTGATAAGCAGTGGCATGCAAGTTTCCCCTTTTAATTTTCATACGAAATCTCTCCCGAATAAGGAATCTGTTTAACTATCCTGTTCCAGGAACATTTCTTAGTCAACTGTTATCAGTGAGTGAGTTTAGTTTTTTTAGCAATATAACAGCAATATCACGGCGGGGGACACCAGAAATGGACTTCACACATTGTACCCATGTAGGGAATCGAACCGAGGTCTTGATAACAGGAATTAGCGAAAAGGTGAACAAATTTATCATCCAAAACTGTGTTCCACTGGAGATATTGCTTGTGTGAGATCAAACGATATCTCCTAGGAGATATCGTTTTGACAGTAGATTTTGTCCAATGCCCTGACGACATCAATTATATGACTCACAATCCTATGACGTCAAAAACTTGATAAAGCCACAATGCTGACATCGCTCCACTACAAGTCTAATGGCAGTACCGTGTTCAGAGATGTACATTTTTCATTGAAACCTTATGAAGAGTCTTTTTTGATGATAAATAGAACCTCACACTCGCTGATAAAAGTAAAAATATCTTCGGCAAGCCTCGAATATTTGTAACTTTATCACCCCGTGTTGATAGTATTGATATCAGTAGAGACTTGGGTGATATGCTCTATATATCCATGCAAAGACAAGTCTACTGTCCCCCCTGAAAATAACAGTGCTGTGAAAATTTGGATGTAACTGATCATGCTCGATTGTACCTAAACTGTGTGTTGCTGACACCAGAGGCTTGAGATGCTGGAATATTGCTCCAAATAAAGTAAACGTTGACTCTTTGAAAGTTGCGAGATCAGAACAAGAGAAGATAACTCTACTTACCACAGTGAGTAACATACAGAAAATGCACTTGTGATCAAGAGAAATATTCACTTCTGGTAGTGGCGTATGGGAACAAACGCGGGTCGCTGACACACTGGAAATATTCTCCTGGAGTCGATTGTGGGTCGGATGTACATAACTGATGCTTGCAGCAATTAACCTGGCTTAAAGAGTGATCACATGAACAACTCGGCAAACCCACCTGTTATGGCGTAGAGAAACCAGCAGACATAGTCAGTGCAAACGGGCATTTCCCCAAACCAAGGGACGCAACTGTGCACAGCAGATATACTGAACTTGTTTGTTATCTCAATAACAGACCCTTTTACAGATCCATGCCTTGTATAAACAGCCTTGATAACAGAGTGTCAGGGTTGTCTGAAATAGCTGGGAGACATCTTCCCGTGGATCAAGGTTCAGCTGTCCAGTCTCTGCTCCCCCCAGAACCAACACCTACACAGTCGACAGGAACAATCCTGCTTCTTAACAAGGAACTGGTACATTTGTTGGAGCGATTCCTTCTTCAGGGTAGTAACAAAGTCACGCGAGGCGGACACATTTGTGCGTTGAAGAAAGTCAGTTACTAGCGTTGATCGCACGTGCGTCAGAATGGAAGGTCAGCGGTAAGTACTGGTTCCTCTCGTTATTCTGGGTGCATACTGTGCAGGCAAGTGCGCATTCCATCAGATTGTAACAGCGGCTTATCTTTCACTATTGTATTGATATCATATATTTAAATGCGACTGTCACTCAACTAAATGGACATTATTGCATCCCTTGGGATGGAATCCACGAATCCACGTGGGCTGGAATCCACGAAGTCCAAACACAAGTTCGCCATAATATTGATGCTTGGTTTGAAGGCATAATAGTCATTATTGGAAGTAGCACCAAGCAGTTTCCTCACACAAGTGATTCCAAACCGTCATTCAAACCCAACCAGTGATTCTTTCTAGAACTCCCGAGATTCTGGACTACCGGAATGAGAATGGTCATGGATGGTCCTTCTACAAAAATGACGGCATCCTCCGGACGATTGACACCACCCCTGAAGATGACATGGAAATTATCAGAAATGTTCAGAAACTGGAACTGAGGGATGATGACATCTTGATTGCAGCATATCCCAAATGTGGTAAGCTGGGTAATGTACTGTATAATTGTGGGAATGAATGATTTTGAACTCTGCAGTAAGCATGTGGTTGCATAAGACTAGACACTCATGACCCATCCATTGTGAACCCATCCAACATTTTCTTACCTGATTTGTGCACTGTGTAGATCAGACAGACAAAAATACAACAAACAAAACAAATACAATTCAAACAGGCGTATACACCAGAAAACTCACGTACTCAAACTATGCTGTCTATTCCGATCCCTCCAGGTACCCATTGGTTGTGGGAAATAGTCACCATGCTCAGGGCCGGTAACTCTGAGTACAACAAGAAGGCTAAGGAAATCGCCATGCAGGGGATGCCGAAGATTGAGCGGGCTGATGAACTCCCCGCTCCGAGATTTCTGAACTCACATCTATATTTCCGTCATCTGCCCGAGAAGCTGGTGGAGAAGAATATAAAAACAATCTTCATCCTGCGAAATCCCAAAGATGTCAGCGTGTCCTGTTATAACCAACTCAACGGAATGAAAGCGAGTTTTAGGTTTGACGGGACGTATTCCAAGTTTCTGGATCTGTTTCTGGAAGGAAAAGGTGAGTACTCTGATGCTATTACCAAACCTCCTGGTCATAACAGAGGAGGGTGGTATAATATGCTTATCACCATGTATTTAAAGTGAGTGAGTGAGTTTAGTTTTACGCCGCACTCAGCAATATTCCAGCTATATGGCGGTCTATATATTTACATGTTTATATTGATCTGAAGACATAATGGCTATATTTAATTAACATTTACAGAAAATAGCAGATATAATACTTTAATTGTCCTTGTCTTCAACAGTTAAACCTAATGCAGTTCACGGTGTCCCGTTTAATATGCCACAAATATATGTGGACTTTGTGACCCGGCCATGTTTATAGGTTTGCTTGCACCATACCCGTCCTCGTGGGTTTCAACAAGGTGGAAATATGTGGGACCTTTTCAAAGCACTCACTCGCCCAAACATGATTCTCACAGTCGTTTTATGGTTCTAAATGCAAACATTTGCATCCAAGCGAGATTTGATATTCCATGTCTAATAGCATCTCCATTGAGGCTGCATGGTTCTCTATGTCGGCATCTCGGAAAGAAGGTAACCAGATGTAGGTTTCCCGAAATGCTCACTCTGTAGGCATAATGGGTGGGGCTGCAGGTGCTTGGGTCAAGATAGACCTTCTATCACCTTCTGAATCCATCGGAAAAATATTTACTCCTCACGCCCTTAAGTGCTGCTGTCTTCATGAGGGTTTAATACGTGTTGACGTTCCGCTGCTTCAGTGAGAGAAGTAGCATCGTATGTTCTGTGTTGTCTGAATTTAGTTTTAGACTATGTGAGGTCCTGTGTCTGTTGGTTTTAGACTATGTGAGGTCCTGTGTCTGTTGGTTTTAGACTATGTGAGGTCCTGTGTCTGTTGGTTTTATACTATGTGAGGTCCTGTGTCTGTTGGTTTTAGACTATGTGTGGTAATGTGTCTGTTGGTTTTAGGTCATGTAAGGTAAAGTGTCTGTTGGTTTTAGACTATGTAAGGTAATGTATCTGTTGGTTTAAGTCGGCCTGAATATTGGGTGGAATGCTCTTACGTGCTGCGCTGCCAGAATGTTTGGTTCAAACGCTCAGAGATGATGATGCACTTTCTGAAAGTGAATATCTAATGCTGCGACGAGCTGAATTCGAGATGAGGGCTTGAACGTTCTGGTGAGCCGCTGGATGATTGCTGGTTCAAATGCTTTGACACGTTGCTTCATAAATGTTCAGTGGGGCTGTAAAGTCGAACTGAAAGTCTAACTGAATAATTGAATGCTCTGACGCACTGCTTCCTGTATGTAGGATCATATGTACCGATGTGGTACACTTGAGATGTAGTCCTGAGACGGGTACCAACACTTTCATAATCGTTCCTGGATGTGGGCTGAAAGGACTTGACATACTGTTGTTACAATGTGGGTATAAACACTTTGGCGTATGCTGTCTGAATGTGGGTCTGCATGCTCTGATCTGCTGTGCCTAAATGCACGCTAAAACTCTCTGAACGGCTGCTCCATGAAAATGAGTTTAAATGCTCTGGCCTACTGTTTCCTGAGTGCGGGTTTCAATGTTCTGGCATGCTGCATGGTTTAAATTCTGTGACGTGATGCTGTCAAATATGGACTTAAACGATGTTGCCTGACTGAAAGTTTAGATGTTCTGACTTGTTGTTGATGGGCTGTAGGTCTAAACACCTGAATATGGTGCTCATACGTGTACAATATTCTGACGTTCCGATGGCTGAATGTAGATATTAATCCTCCTGAAAGTCGGTTTAGAAGCATACACATGATGATTTGCGAATGTTGGCTCAGATGTCCAGACGTGCTTTTGTGTTCTACTACACTCCACTCAGTTCTACAAACAACAGAACAGTAATATGGTATGTCATGTGCGGTGCACTCCTGAGAATGTCAATGTCGTTCGTGTGATATACAATTTATGAAGGTTCAGATGCCTTGAAGTGCTGCTGTTTGAATATAGGTTCAGATGCCCTGAAGTGCTGCTGTTTGAATGTAGGTTCAGATGCCCTGAAATGCTCCCGTGTGAATGTAGGTTCAGATGCCCTGAAGTGCTCCCGTGTGAATGTAGGTTCAGATGCCCTGAAGTGCTCCCGTGTGAATGTAGGTTCAGATGTCCTGCAGTGCTACTATATGAATATGGGTTCAGATGTCCCGCAGTGCTACTATATGAATATGGGTTCAGATGCTCTGATCTGTTACGGTGTGTCTGAATGGGTATTTACACGCTGTCAGAAGCTGATGTCATGTGAGCTACATGCTCCGACCTGAATGTTGGCTTGAAATGCTGCGCTATTTCATCGTTGTGTCAATGCTGCGCTATTTCATCGTTGTGTCAACTGTGCCGCATGTTATACAAAATTCCTTCCACTGTTTCAGTAAGTTGTGGTGATTATGCCGACTATGTGAAGGATTGGCTGCAAGTGAAACAGGACAACCCGGACTTGCCAATGTTGACATTGTTTTATGAAAACTTTAAAAAGGTTTGTAGCTGACCTAGAGGCCTTACAAGATACATGTAGTCAAATGCAGAATGGCTTGGTGGGTACACGTTTTGAAGAGTTGAATGTAAACAACGGTGATCCATCTCAGTAATTGATGACGATCAGCTGGAGCTTCCAAATAAACTTGAAATGTACAAATACCTACGTCCTGTGCATGTCATCTGTGCTGCACATTGATGACTGTGATGCGTGTGATGTTGCCGTATCAGGGCATCAACATCGACCATCAATTTGTTGATCATTTATATAACATGAGTACATATTTTCGTTTGTCTGCCAATGTGACGTGCTGCTGTCACTGGGTTTGAGAAAAGGGGAAAGTGTGTTGTTAGTTTGCATTTGCCGTTTAACAATCTGGTTATATTTGGAAGGTATATCATTAGTTCCTTATATATCCTCATATATCTTTAGTTAACTGTACTGGTGCTTATTTGGTAATTACACATACGTTTACTTTTGGTATACTGGACTGTCCATAATTCTGTATTTCTCCAACGACAGTGGTACTGCATGTAGCGGAAGGGTAGGTTCTCTATACAACCTTTGATCGGGTTTGATTCGGGCACTGCATGTAGCGGAAGGGTAAGTTCTCTAGACAACCTTTGATCGGGATGTCAACTCTTATTAGGTTGATTGTAGGATCCTGTTAAGAACATCAGAACGGTTGCCGAGTTCCTTGGAGTGTGTGTCAGTGATGAATTCTGTCTGCAAATAGCAGGAGCGTGCGGCTTTAAGAGGTAGAAGGCCGCAAACACTGAGGTCAAGGACCACAACAGAAATCAGTCCGACGTCTGGAAGGAAGGTCACCAAGGACTGTACAGGAAAGGTGAGATTGGCCTTTAGACCTGTTTGTCATTGTGTTCCTTCATACATCAAATCAAGACACGTGGGTTAGAGTATGTCTAAGTACTAATACTGTTACTTGTTGTGAGACACACGTTGTTCATAGTAGGTCAAAGTATGATGTTACTTGATGTGAGACACACGTGGGTTAGAATTGTTACATCTATAGATATTTAAGGATGCAAGCATACATATCTTACCGAAGGGCTCATGAGAACATGTGGATGTATAGATCAAACTGATGTTCAGTATAGTTTGCACACAATATAATTACTTGATCTGAGGGTAACCTAAGAGGCAATGTTCACACGAAGGTTTGTGACACTCACAAATTACAGAATGCATCTGTTTTACTTTCTTCAGGAATTACTCATGATGGTCGTACTTAAGGAGCTAGACATGTGTTACTTACTGACCTTAAATTTTATTACTCACCTTTGAACATATACATTTATGTGTTGTTTCAGGTGAAGTTGGCGATTGGAAGAACTGGATAACAGTTGCCCAGAACGAAAAATTTGATGACGTCATTGAGCGCCGATTTGAAGGAACGGGCATTGTATTCACGTATGAATAACCGTTATATGGTGATCATGGGGTTGTGGACACTGAATGCCAAATATCATCCAGGATATATTTATGAATATTTATATCTATGTTGTATGTTCATGTCGAACCACAGAGTTTTACCTCTGATCCTTTCAAATTATTTTGCTGACACTGCAAAGTTAGGAAGAATCTATCAATGTTGTTACGAGATGGATGACTTAATACATGACACGTTTCATGGATAAGTGATGTTTATGCTTTATACGACATTTCAGAGCTAATTCTTGCTCCTTCATCAGGTGAATGCTGAGTGAGTGAGTGAGTGAGTTTAGTTCATCGCCGCCTTTAGCAATATTACAGCAATATCACCGCGGGGGGACACCACAAATAGGCTTCACACACTGTACCCATGCGGGGAATCAAACCCGGGTCTTCAGCGTGACGAGCGGACGCTTTAACCACTAGGCTACCCCACCGCCCCAGGTGAATGCTGAGGCAGTGCAAAGACAGACAGACAGACAGACAGACAGACAGAC